TGAACCGGCACAATCACTCGGTGAGGGTCGGTCGGGTCGGGCGAGCGGCGTGACCTGTCAGTAGAGGGCCTGTCTGCTACTGACTTCCAGCGTTTCCCTGCTGCTTGGTCTGTGTCTGCTGCTCAGCTTCCCCCTTTCCCTTAGCGTTTTCCGGGCATTCGCTCTTGCGATGTCCCGGCCGATTGCACGCAAAGCAGCGCCCTTTGAACGGTGCAGCAGCGGCATTTGCGGCGACGGCACGTATCGTGGCGCTCTCGTTCGTCCCACGAGGCCGATGTCCCCAGGTGTTGTTTCCGTAGGACCCCGGTCTCGGTCGGCGAAAGAAGTCGAGCTTCTCCGCCATAGCGAGAATTTCCTGAAACTCGGTGACGCCGCGAAGCTGGATTTCCTGAGCGATGTCCTGCTTCAGGCCGCCGATGTAGCGGTCGATGCGTTCGCTCTCATGCATGTAGCCCACCTGCTCGCATAGCGCCAGAAATCCGCTCGTGTAATCCTGGACGGAACCGAGTTGGCGCCAAGTGCGGAGCTTCTGTCGCGCCGAGATCGAGGCCGCGATTGGCTCAAATCGAGCGCGCAGACCTGCGCACCACGCGTCCCACGTGCGATACTGGGGCACCTCCACGAAATACGACGGCGCCCAGGGTCCGGTTTGTCAGAATATATTTGCTGTCTAGCCTGCAGTGGGGTACTCTGTAATGAGTACAACCCAATTTAGGGCAATGTACTTGTATCCCAACTCTTGCTAGTCACTTCACTTCCCTTCCAATTTCTCGACTCTCACCTAACCCACTCGAACTTACCTATCTCCTAGTGTGGGCCTAGGCTACTAAGCCTAGGCCCCACACCTAATATTTTCACATGTTATCAGAGCCCGTTCTACCTTGGCCTGTGGGCCCCTATGCTTCCGCTGCAGTCCTTCTTCCTGCCGATTTTTTTTTTGAGGATTTCGGAGTTTTTCATCCCGCCGTGCGCTCGGGGCGCGCGGCGGTTTTCCCGTCCTTCGAAGCGCCCTCGGGGGGCCTGCGCGCTGCCCTCCCCGCTGCTCGTCGCGACGCCCGTGCGGGACCCGCGCGGCGTCACCCTGCTCGTCGCGACGTCCGTGCGGGACCCGCGGGGCGTCGCCCCTGCTCGTCGCGACGTCCGTGCGGGACCCGCGCGGCGCCGCCCTACTTGTCGCGACGTCCGTGCGGGACCCGCGGGGCGTCGCCCCTGCTCGTCGCGACGTCCGTGCGGGACCCGCGGGGCGTCGCCCCTGCTCGTCGCGACGCCCCATGCGGGACCCGCGGGGCGCCGTCAGTTCCTGCAGCAGCAGCCGCCGCCGCCCTGCAGCAGCAGCCGCCGCCAGAGCCTGCTGCAGCAGCCGCCGCCAGGGTCTTCAGCAGCAGCCGCCGCCAGGGTCTGCAGCAGCAGCCGCCGCCAGAGCCTGCAGCAGCAGCCGCCGCCAGAGCCTGCAGCAGCAGCCGCCGCCAGAGTCTACAGCAGCAGCCGCCGCCAGAGTCTGCAGCAGCAGCCGCCGCCAGACCTGCAGCAGCTGCCGCCACCGACCCAGCAGCAGCAGCCGCCGCTCTATCAGCAGCAGCAGCCGCCGCCGCTCTGCCGCAGCAGCTACCGCCGCCCAGCTGCAGGTGCCGCCCCTGGACCCCAGAAGCCGCCCCTGGACCCGGTACGCCTTGTGCTGCCCGTGCCTGTGCTGCCCGTGCCTGTGCTGCCCGTGCCTGTGCTGCCCGTGCCTGTGCTGCCCGTGCCTGTGCTGCCCGTGCCTGTGCTGCCCGTGCCTGTTGCTGCCCGTGCCTGTGCTGCCCGTGCCTGTTGCTGCCCGTGCCTGTTGCTACCCGTGCCTGTGCTGCCCGTGCCTGTGCTGCCCGTGCCTGTGCTGCCCGTGCCTGTGCTGCCTGTGCCTGTTGCTGCCCGTGCCTGTGCTGCCCGTGCCTGTGCTGCCCGTGCCTGTTGCTGCCCGTGCCTGTGCTGCCCGTGCCTGTTGCTGCCCGTGCCTGTGCTGCCCGTGCCTGTGCTGCCCGTGCCTGTGCTGCCCGTGCCCGTGCTACCCGTGCCTGTTGCTGCCCGTGCCTGTGCTGCCCGTGCCTGTGCTGCCCGTGCCTGTGCTGCCCGTGCCTGTGCTGCCTGTGCCTGTTGCTGCCCGTGCCTGTGCTGCCCGTGCCTGTGCTGCCCGTGCCTGTGCTGCCCGTGCCTGTTGCTGCCCGTGTCTCGTGCTCGCGCCCCCGTGCGCTCTGCTACTGTCTGCGCCCTCGTGCGCACTGTCCCCCCCCCCCCCCCCCCCCCCCCCCGTTTGCGGGTGTGGGGGTGCTCCGTTTGTGTCGCCCCTTCCTTCTCCTCCTCCGTCGTCTCCCACTGCTAAAGCTGTCGCTGAGGGGGGTGGTTGTGTGGGAGACTGGGGTTTAGGGTTTAAGGGGGGTGCGTGGGAGTGGAGCTAGGGGTGTAGCAGCGGGTGTGTGTCAGGGGGGTGGGACTGTTTGTGGGAGGTTGAGCGGAGGCTGCCGTCTTGTAGTCCGCAGCACCTGTAGTCCGGGGCGCTGTCCTGGTAGCCCAGTGAGCCTGCTGCGCCTGTCGCCCGTGGGTCCGTTGCTCCTGCCGCTCTTCGTAGCCGCCGAGCCAGTTACTCCAGTAGTCCGGGGCGCTGTCCCGGTAGCCACTGTGCCAGCCGCTCCTGTTGCCCGTGTGTCTGCAGCTTCAGCAGTCGCCTCCCATCTCCTCTCCTCTCACTCTCCCTCCTCCTCCTCACCTGCCCGTTGTGACCACCACTAGCTTTGCTGATAATTGTGCACTTTAACTATTGCTTCTTGAACTTGTGCTCAGAATGTGTGGTGACATTGTGATCCACCCTGAGCTTGTACTGCTTTGCCTGCTCTGCTGATTTCACCCCACTTTGGCTATGGGGGTGTGTCAGAATATATTTGCTGTCTAGCCTGCAGTGGGGTACTCTGTAATGAGTACAACCCAATTTAGGGCAATGTACTTGTATCCCAACTCTTGCTAGTCACTTCACTTCCCTTCCAATTTCTCGACTCTCACCTAACCCACTCGAACTTACCTATCTCCTAGTGTGGGCCTAGGCTACTAAGCCTAGGCCCCACACCTAATATTTTCACACGGTTTGTCCTTCCCGTGTCGGTAGTGTCGCGTAGTCGGTCGGCTTCGTGACGATGACGCGCCACCAGTCCATGGCGGGTCCTCGCAGCAACGACACGGCGTATCGAATCTTCGCCGAGTCCTCCGAGACGTAGTTGGCGTCGAAGAAAACATTCATTGTGAATAACCACGCCTGAACGGTAGGACCACCCCGTTGACTCGGGTCAAAGCATGGCGGGCGCTGCGGCTTCAGCGGCATCGGTGACGGCAGTCCCGAATCGTGGGTTGGTGCCGAAATCGTGACGCGAGGCTGATTTGGGGCCGCAGGCGTCGCTCTGGGGTGTGTCGTGCCGTGGTCGTCGTCTCCGTCGGGGCGGACGACGCCATCACTGGCCGCACTCGCGGGTTGCCCCACACTCCCGTGTTGTGATGTTGAGGGTGCGGGTTGAATCGGAGTGCCAGGTGCTTGAGATTGTGCTCTCATGAGGTCATTTTGCAGTGATGAGCGTTCTGCCGTCAATGCCGCGATTTCCTCGGAGCTTTCGTGCAGTTGTCGCAGCAGATCGTTCAAACGCTCCTGCGTGAGAGTGGTGACGTCGATATTTTCGGCCATGACGAAGGGCGTCGGCTCGTCTTAGTCTAGGCGCAGTCGTGGCTGCACGCGTTTACGAGAGAACGCGAGGACAGCGGCTCCTAGGGGCTAAGGTGCGTGAGTCCCTTCGAGTGAAAAATCAAAAGTTGATTTCCTGGTGTGCGGAGATGCGCGGTCCGAAAGAAAGGGGCTCTGATAACCAAGTGTTACGGGTGCAATGAATCGAGGTAGCGAGAATTGCACTAAGGTGTCAAACGAGTACAAAATGTGAGCGAAGGCATGAGCGAACATTTATACGCGAAACATGCAAAACGGTAACGCGGTGCGTGCGAGCTTGCTAGTGCTACGCTGGAGCGAGGCTCGGGCTAGTCCCGAAGCGTAGGCCGATACGGCCATGCCAGCAGTGCGAGGTTTGGCAAAACAGTGCGCGCGAAGTCGGCGAAGTTCCGTTAGCAGTAACGGGCGAACAATCGGCTGTTGCTGTACGCGATGTAGTCGGCTCCGTAAGGAATGCCGAGAAAATTCCTTACAGTTGAGTAAGTGGAAATTATAGTCGTTAGAGAAAATTCTTATCAAGCTGGCACATTCGAAAGTTCAGGTTGTACGCAATGTAGTACAATCCCGTAATAAAAGGAATGTTTTCCCTTACAGATTGGAACCTCTCTGTTTTCACTCAATAATTTGCACACATACGTTTGGAGGCTGGCTCTCTTTGTGGGCTTAGCTATTAGTTTTGTTGAGCACCTTTGATCTGTTTTGAGTTGCATAAGTAACAGTACGGTAACCAGTGTACCTTGCCGATTTTGCTATGGAAATTTCACCCTCTTGCTTGCGCCACGATTCGACCAAACTAGCACGTCTGACACACTGGCTGTTTCGAGCCGGAAGGTTAGGCTCGAACGGCTTCGTGTTCACTCGTCACCAAACGTGTTTGCTCGTCACCAAAGCAGTCAATCTGGCTCGCCACACGAGTCGCAGGTGGTTAGCCACCGCAAGTTCCGGCTTGGAGGCGATATTCCCGCTCAGCCGAGCCTCGTTTGTGACCGCGAAACCCCCATTGTTTCACAGACCAGCCACCTTGAGATCTACGTTACACGTGGCATTCTATCTTGCGCTCTGGTTTCCCGCCCTTACAGCCCTTCTTTCTCGATCCACCTTGCCCCGTGACAGCATCCGTCCGTTTCAAGTTGGATTTAGCCAGCAGCACCCTGATGCTCCTGTCCTGTTCCATCCATATCTACGCCTTCTGTAAGCCCTTTCAGTACGCTCGAGTTCCCTTCACAAACGCGGAGCTAACTCGTTTTTGGGTTAGTTTCTCATGATGGAAGCCCCCAATCGTAATCCCGACCAGAAGCAGCCTTTGTTGCCAGCCAAGCCCGCTCCTGATGCAGTGTCCATACCAGTAAATCGCCGTGTCCTGCCGGATTTTCTCCAGAGTGTTAATTTAAGCCATGTGAAGCTGGGTTACCATTACCTTATCACTCATGGCGTGCCCCTGTTGCTCATTCCCCTCTTCATCTCCGTCGGTGTTGAGGTCCTTCGGATGCGGCCCGACGATCTTCTCCAACTCTGGCAGCACTTGCAGTTGAATCTGGTCAGCGTGGTCGGGTGCTGTGCTGCAGTTGTTTTTGGCGCTACGGTGTTCATTCTCTCCCGTCCCCGCCCCCTGTATCTCGTCGATTTCGCTTGTTACCGCCCTCCTGACCATCTCAAGGTCTCGCTGGAGACCTTCATGAAATACTCGAGCGAATCAGGCGTATTTGACCAGGCGAGTCTCGAGTTCCAGCGCAAGATCGTCACACGGTCAGGGCTCGGCCAGGACACGTGTTTGCCTCCCGGGCTTCACGAGAATCCTCCATACCCATCTCTCGCCGGGTCTCGTTTGGAAGCAGAAATGGTCATGTTCGCGTGCCTGGATGAGCTCTTTAAGAAGACTGGCGTGAAGCCTCGTGATGTTGGAGTTCTCGTGGTGAACTGTAGCGTGTTTTGCCCAACGCCGTCTATGTCCGCGGCCATCATCAACAAGTACGCTATGCGTGGTGATATCCGGTCCTTCAATCTCGGTGGCATGGGCTGCAGTGCTGGTGTGATCTCGGTTGATCTCGCGAAGGATCTTCTCCAAGTTCATGGTTCCACGTATGCTGTTGTCATGAGCATGGAGACTCTTACGCCTGAGTGGTATTTCGGCAAGGATCGCTCGATGCTCATCCCCAACTGCATCTTCCGTATGGGCGGCGCCGCCATGCTTCTGTCCAACAAGAGTAAAGATCGCCGCCGCTCGAAGTATGAGTTGACTCACACGGTCCGCACGCACATGGGTGCGGATAACAAGAGCTACCGGTGCGTGTACCAGCAGGAGGACGACGAAGGAAAGATCGGGGTCTCTCTTTCCAGCGATCTCATGGCTATTGCAGGGAATGCCCTCAAGACTAACATTACAACTCTCGGCCCGCTCGTGCTGCCACTTTCGGAGCAGCTGCTCTTCTTCGCCGTGCTCATGGCTCGCAAGCTGTTCCGTGTGAAGATGAAGCCGTACATCCCAGACTTCAAGCTCGCCTTCGAACACTTCTGCATCCACGCTGGCGGCAGAGCTGTATTGGATGAGCTGGAGAAAAACTTGCAGCTGAAGAAGCACCAGCTAGAGCCCTCGCGGATGACCCTCTATCGCTTCGGCAACACCTCATCCTCCTCCATTTGGTACGAGCTGTCGTATGCTGAAGCTAAGGGACGCGTGCGACGGGGTGACCGCGTGTGGCAGATCGCGTTCGGCAGCGGATTCAAATGCAACAGTGCGGTGTGGCGCGCGTTGCGGACATTGAAGGCGGAGCAGAACAAGGGGCCGTGGTTTGACTGCATCGATAAACTGCCCGTGGAGCTTAACCTCTGAACGGCAGCTGCCGACAGAACTTGTGCAGTTTTAAGGTATGAAGTCTATCCCAAGTCGCTTTTGGCCACGATGCTGAGAATAATAATACGATGGGGCTGGTTACATCATTTTGGTTACCAGTGTAGGCTGACACCAGACGTTAATATCGATTTAAACGAATCGGAGCAGAAAGAAGTGATACTTTTGGTAACGTTTTACCCACCAGAGTTACGGTGAAGATTTTGGCTGTGACCAGCAGGTGGGAGGGGTGTCACTATTTGTAATTTTTAACTTCTCGGCCTTCGTCCTAACAGTTGTTGCAGCACTGACGTGAGACGTTTGCTCTACTGTGCTTTGTGTTCAGATAAAATTGGCGGATTGGGCATGATCAACATGTCCGTGTGGGAATTTGATCAGGTGTATGTGAAACCTAGTCATCAGTTTTGATTGTAGCAGGATCCCAAATTTAGGCTAGCGGGATTTCAGTGTTCACAACTTTGTTGACTAGTACAACAGTAGATGTTACTTTCTCCTCCGCTACTAACACCCAAGTCACTCTCCTTACCTGTACACAGCAGCTTCTACTTCCTCCTGGCTGGTTGCAGGAGGGTGATACAAATACTGCCTACCCTTAGTAACATCCATAAAGCCTTTGGCGATCGGAGTAGCCCCTTTCATGAGAGGAAGCATCATCATCTGCAAGGACAAGTCCAAGGCTTCTGGTGCGAACAGGCGAAACAGCAGAGCTGCTGAAAACCATGTAGGTATAAGGACATAGCGGGCACCACAACATGCTCCATCAACCAATGCTTTGGCCACTGTACCAGGACGGAGCATGGGCTGGGGCCCTAAGAACGCCTGTCACACCAAAGAAGGGGCCAAGATTCAGTTACTGTAAAAACCTCACCACAGGAAAACAGCAAAGAAGTGCTTACATCACGCCGATCTTGATCCACCACCATTCTGCCTTGTTCATCCAGCACCTTTCCAGCTGCTAGCTCAGATGCTGTAGCACCGGGAAACCCAATTGTAATGCCAACATCTGCCCCAACTGGTTCCGCCCGAAGCGTATCAAAGAACTGAGTTAATCCTGCCTTAGAAGCCTGCAGGAAAATGGCAGCATACACAGATCAGAACTGTACTGCAACATTTTCCACCTTGCGACCCTTGGATGCACTCACATTGTAGATACTGAAGCGAGGCATGGGCAGGAAAGCGCCAATGGAGGCATTCACAAGGATCTGGCCTCGAGCCCTTCGCAGGTAGGGCAGGGCATGCAGAGTGATCCACATACTGCCAAAAAAATTCACATCCTGCAAGAGAAACGCAACATCAATCTTGACAAAAGAACTAGAAAACTTCAGCACAAAAAATTCCCTGACTATCACGGTGCAACTGACCATGACTTGTCTCATCCCCTCTATGCTTTGAGCATCCTTGAAGAGGAAGGCATGGCCGATCCCCGCATTGCACACCAGATAATCCACTGCACGATGCATCACAGGATGTGAAACAGAGACAGTGTGAGATGAATCCATCGCGGAGTACAAAGCGTGAGCAGCAGCGAGGAGGGATGCTGACAGCTTCTGAAGTTGGTGATAGCAGCGTCCACCATGCGCCGGCAGTCGTCCTCCTTGGACACGTCCCCCGCCACGATTGCCACGTCCGCCGCGCCCATGTTGCCGCACCGCCGGGCCACCTCGCGCAGCCGTCCCTCCCTCTGGGCACACAGCACCAGGCGAGAGCCGCGGCGGGCGAACTCATACGCAATATGCTGCACGGTGGTAGGGGGCGAGGCAGAAGAACAAGGTAAGCATAATGACTACTCAGTCCCATAGCACCACTAGAAAGATGACGCTTAGCGACTTCAGCAACGTCGCACCTCACCGATACCCGACGACGCCCCTGTTACGAGCACGGTCTTATCCCGGGCGGCGCTCATGGAAAAGAAGGAACGGACGAGGCGGACCGCATAGTTGAGCGCGAAGAGCACGGGCGCCCATGCGAGTAGCAGCAGCAGGCCGAGCGGCGGCACGACGAAGTTGAGAACTCGGTTGAGAGACCACTCAATGCCCCACATGCTGGGCGATGCTCGCGCGACAGGCAACGGTCACCGGTGCCGCGGGAGTGGATGCACCAAGAGCGGACTTAGAGTAAGAGAGCTATCGAGACAGGGAGCGATGGGACGAACGAGCAAGGCGAGCAAGTCGTCGTGACTCGTAGACCCAGCGAAAATTCCCGACTATGGTGGCTGCGTGAAGTATTTCAAACTGAAGCGTCGAGGCGAGTCGCCTATCGGGCCGTGAGAGTCCATGGCGACTCGTGGAGTGGACTGGATGTGCTGCGATCGAACACGTGGAGGTGGTGCATGGGCTCCGAGGAAAACTGCTGCTGTGGGGTTGCCCTATGCTTCTGTATAACGTCTTTCGTTTTCAGATTAGCCGTTTCACTGCATTCGCACTCAACCTATGGTCACATGTGGTCGATTTACTGTACTTTTTCTCGACTTGCACAGACGAGATCACAAATGAATGGGAAATTGTTTTATCCCAAAGCATTCATCATAAAGTCAGCCAATCAAATCAGCAGCGCAAGTCGCAGGTTCTAGACTCCACCATGCCGTAGCACGTCGAGTTTCGGACTCCGAGCTTCCGCTCTCCGTCGCGGTGTTCCCCCTAGTGCGTCGACCGCCTCCAAGCACCGCGCCGTGGAATGGAACCCGCCAGCGGGGACCCTGCCGTGCCCTCCGCCGACTCCCGCGATGCAAGTGACGCCGCCGCTGCCCCTTCCGCCGGCCCATTGGCGGACAGCGTGCCTGCCGCTCCGCAAGCGGGAAATGCGGAGTTAGTGGAAGAATCGGGCGTGGGGACGGCGGTCGCGGTGGCACAAGAGGATGCAGCAGTAGGTTCCGCAGCAGCTAATCCGGCAGCAGCTGGCGCGCACGAGGTTCCGCAGTCCGCGGGGAGCGCGGAAGCGGTAGTGGCGCAAGTGGTGGTACCGGTGAATGGGGGAAACGGCGTCGATGCCGGCGGGCAAGTCGCAGGGGATCCGTCGCGAGAAGCGGAGGATCGCAGCAGGGGGGAAGGGCGCATGGATGAGGAGGGGGAGGACGCTGGCGGGAAGCGGAAGAGTGAGGTGATTCCCGCGGACGAGAGTGGCGGGAAAGCGGAAGCGCAGTCTTTGCTGGCGGGAACGGGCGGGGAAGCTGAGGCGGAAGGGGCAGAAGGCGTGGGAGTTGGCACGGGCGAAGACACAGGGGACCTGACGAGGGGAGGCGCGGAGAATGTCGAGGCGAAGGAGGTTGTTGGGGAGGGGGAGAAACCGGAGGGAGTTACGGAGGTGATATCGGTGGAGAGCAGCGAGGGGAAGAAAGGCGTGGTGATTTCGCTTGAGAGCAGTGAGGAGGAGGCGGGGCAGGGAGGGTGCGAGGAGGGAGAAACGGGAGCGCGGGTGGAGGGCGACAGCGGGCGTGGTGGCAGTGCTGTGCGCGATGGCGGGGCAGGGGGCACGGACATGGCGGAAGGAAAAGGGGCAGAGGAAGGTCAGGGTGAAGAGAAGGAGGAAGGGAAGGATGGGAAGGAGGGGGAGGAAGCGAAGAATGAGAAAGGAGGAGAGGCGAGCAATGATGTGCCGGAGACTGCAGGTGGTGCAGGAGGGGACGATGCTGCAGGGGAAGCAGGCGTGCGGGCGATAAGGGAAGGAGAGACAGAGTTGGATGAAGAAAAAGGGGTGGGGGACGCTGTTGAAGCGGCTGGAGCGGATGAGGGGGGCCCAGGGGGGGCCGAGGGCGGAGAGAGGGTCGAAGGGGAGAGTAAGGAGGCAAACGAGGGGCGGGCAGGCGACAGCTGTGTTGGCATGACGCCCGCGGAGGGGGGAGCGCAGGGGGAGGTGGGCGAGGAGGCGGCAGCGGTGGGGGTTCGGGTGGAGGGGGAAGCAGTGCAGGGGGGTGAAGGAGCGGAGGGGAAGGGGCCTGATGGGGCTGTGGGAGGGGCGGGGGCGGGAGCAGAGGCGGGGGCGGGGGCGGGGGCGGAGGGGAGGGCGGAGGCAGAGGGCGGGGAAATGGTGAGTGCAGGGGATAGGGTGGGTGGGGTGAGTGAGGAGGGAGTGGGTGCAGGGGGGCATGCGGCGAGAGCGGGGCTGCAAGCGGCTGGTGGGGGGCCAGAGGGGGAGGGAGGCGATGGGAAGGATGGCGGTGCGGACAAAGAGTGTGGTGAGGGGGCGGTGCAGGGGGGTGAGGGTGGTGGGACGGATGGGGAGGGAGAGGGGAAAACGGAGGGGGGTGCAGTGGAGGGGAAGGGCGAGGTGGGCTTGGCAGAGGGTGGTGGGGCGGAGGAGGGCGGTGATAAGGGTGGTAATGAGGGGAGTGGTGCAGGCGATGCAGGGGGGAGCGAGGAGGAGAAGCAGACGGGAGGTGCAGAGAGGGAGGTCAGTTTGGACGCGGGGACGATGGAGGGCGAGGGGAAGGGGCAGGGAAGCGCGTGTGACGAGAGGAAAGAGGTGGCGGGGCCTGAGAAGGAAAGGGGCGAGGAGAAGGAAGGGGTTGACAAGGAGATGGGGAAGGCGGACGACGGAGCCGCAGATGCTGTGGGGAAGGAGGGTGGTGACGGGGGTGAGGCGAGTGGAGTAGCAGGCGTGGAGCAGGGAGCGAGTGAGGGTGCAGGGGCAGAGCAGGGAGAGAAGGTTGAGGGAGGCGAGGCAAAGAGCGTGGCGAGCGGGCAGGCAGGCGAGGAGGGCGCAGGGGCATGTGAGGCAGGCACCGAGGGTGCAAGGCAGGGCGAGACGGGTGAGGAGGGCGGGGGCGAGGAGGAGCGTGGCGTGGTAGCAGATGGTGCCACAGGCGAGGGTGGTGGCAGTGGTGGCGAGACGAAGAAGGGAGGTGAGGAGAGTGGGGGGGGTGAGGAGAGAAAAGGGGGTGAGGAGGGAAAAGAGGGTGAGGAGGGAAAAGGAGGTGAGGAGGGAAAAGGAGGTGAGGAGGGAAAAGGAGGTGAGGAGGGAAAAGAGGGTGAGGAGGGAAAAGGAGGTGAAGAGGGAAAACGGGGTGAGGAAGGCAAGGGGGTTGAGGAGGGAAAGGGGAGTGAGGAGGGCAAGGGGGAAGGCGAGGGCAAGGGGGAAGGAGAGGGCAAGGGGGAAGGGGAGGGCAAGGGGGAAGGGGAGGGCAAGGGGGAAGGGGAGGGCAAGGGGAAAGAGGAGGGTAGAGGGCAAGAAGAGGGCAAGAGGGAAGAGGAGGGCAAGGGGGAGGAAGAGCAGGCGAAGGTGGCGGCGGGAGAGGAGGCGGTGGGAGTGCAGGGGCAGAGCACGGATGCTGGGGCGCGTGAGGCGCACGTTGGGGAGGGCAGTGGTGTGCGTGAGGCCGCAGGGGATAGCGCGCACGGGGGAGGGGGTGAGGAGGGCACGCGTGTGAAGGAGGGTGGTGATGCGGATGGCGTGGGTGAGGAGAGGAGTCAGGAGCAGGGAGCGGGGAAGGTCTCTGGTGTGGTGCTGCTTGGGCAAACAGACACACAGTTGCAGGTGGAGGGGAAGACAGCAGTAGAGGCGGCAGTGGAGATGCATGGTGGGGGTGCGGTGGAGCAGGCAGGTGCGGTGCATGAGGTGAGTGCCCCACTGGCCGTGGTATCTCCAGACGAGGCTGCAACTCAGGGAGATGGGCAAGTAAGGCAGCAGAGCGCAATGCATGAGGCTGGAGCGAAGCAGGTGCAGGAGGGTGGGGTGCAGGTGCAGGCGGAGAAAGGAGGGGCGGAGCAGGTGGCAGCAGCTGAGAAGCAAGCAGATGGGCAACAACAGCAGCAGACACAGGCTGCACAGCCACAAGAAGAGAAGGAACAGCAAGTGTTGCAGCAGCAGTCACAAGGGCAACCATTGCAGCCACAGGAAAAGCAGCAAGAGGATAAGAAGCAGGAACCTTTGGAGCAACAAGAAAAGCAGCAAGAGGAGAAAGAACAGCCATCGTTGCAGAAACAGGAAGAACAGCAGCAAGAGGAGGAGGAGCCGAAAGAGCGAAAAGAAGAGGAGGATGCAGGGGTGTGTGGTGTTGCACATATGGATGGGGTGGAAGGGGCAGACGCACCTGAGGGGCGTGCAGGGACGGATGGGCACGACACCCAAGTGAGTGCAGAGAAGGACGAGCAGACAGCGATGGTGGAGACAGGGATCGACGATCGGGGAAAAGAAAAGGAGGAGGAGAAGGAGAAGAAGGCTGAGGTGAAGGAGGAGAAGGAGAAGAAGGCTGAGGTGAAGGAGGAGAAGGAGAAGAAGGCTGAGGTGAAGGAGGAGAAGGAGAAAGAGGAGGTGAAGGAGGAGAAGGAGAAAGAGGAGGTGAAGGAGGAGGAGAAGGAGAAAGAGGAGGTGAAGGAGGAGGAGAAGGAGAAAGAGGAGGTGAAGGAGGAGGAGAAGGAGAAAGAGGAGGTGAAGGAGGAGGAGAAGGAGAAAGAGGAGGTGAAGGAGAAGGAGAAGGACGAGAAAGGGGAGAAAGATGAGAAGGAGGAGGAGGAGAAGGAGGACAAGGAGGAAAAGGAGGAGGAGGCGAAAGAGGAGCAGCAGGAGGGGGAGAAGGAGGAGGAAGAGCAGGCGGGGTCGGAGGCGGATGCAGTGGTGGTGGAGATAGCTCTCAGTGTGCCCGCGCTGCTGGCTGCCCATGCACGCACTCGCCGGGCCTCAGCACACACGGGAGGTGGTGCTGTGCTGCAATGGGGGGACAACGTGCAACGCTCCACCTTCACATGGTACAGCCACGCCCACACCTCCATGCACACTGCTCCCTCCCACCCTCCTTCCCGTTCCCCAATGCTGCTCGCTCACAACTTGCCACCATGCATCCGTGCCTTGCACTTCACCCATCTCCCACTTCTCTCGCTGTAAATTTCCTTGCTTCCCTTGTCTCTCTTGTGTGTGTGCGCATGTGCGTGTGTGTGTGCATGTGCGTGTGTGTGTCTGTGTGAGTGTGTGTGCGCATGTGCGTGTGTGTGTGCATGTGAGTGTGTGTGTGTGTCCATGTGCGGTGTGAGCAGCCCCATGGCATGGTGTCCCAAGTCCAACCTCATTGCCTTCCCAACAGCGCCTGCACAGCCCAACATCAAGTAAATGCTGCATCACCCCTCACCTCTCACCTCGCCATATCCCTCTCCCCTCACACTCCACGCACTCTTCGTCTCTCCATTCCCCTCCACTGTTCCTTTTCTCATCACCCACCCATATCTCTCAACCTGTATTTCCCCTCCCTCTCCTCTTCCCCCTGCCTCCCCTCGCCCCACTCCCTCCCCTCTTCCCCCTGCCTCCCCCTGTCCACCCGCAGAGCCCCACCAGGAGCGCCACCTGTGTTTGTGCCGGTGGCCTTGCTGGACCCAGACCGCCCGCTGCACCACTGCATGCTCAAGCTCCCCGCAGGTCAGCCTCCCACCCCCCACCTTGCTCGCGCCTCTCCCTCTCCCACTCCTGGCTGACTAGCTGCACATGTCTTGTTGCCTCTTTCCTGCCCAGCACATCCACTTGCCGCCCTGCCTCTCCGCCTGCGGCTGTGTGCACATGCTGTGCTGTGTGGGGTTCCATGTCACATGTCACCGCTCATGCTTTCCTGCCATCATCCATGCCTCTCACCCTCACCTTCCCTTCCCACCATACGCCATGCGGCATGCACGAGCCACTGTCTCCCCATGCATCCAACCCGTGCATGCCTCTTGCATCTCCTGTGCCTCCTCATGGCCACCCCACATCTGTTCCCGCCACTCCCTTCTGTCGTCCCTTCCACCCCACACGGCCCCACCCCCCACCCTCCATCGTGCCAGACATGCCGGGGCGTGAGGTGACAGCAGTGGCGTGGTCGCCCCCCTCGTGCGACCGTGCACTCGCTGTGCTCTCTGCACCCTCGCATGTGTCCGTGTGGGCGCAGCCTTGCACGGTACGTCACTGTCACAGCCACACACACACACACACACACACACACACACACACACACACACACACACACACACACACACACACACACACACACACACACACAACACACACGCACGCACGCACGCACGCACGCACGCACGCACACACGCACGCACGCGCACACACACATGCCCTTCCATGCCGTGGTCACCCACAAACGCGCATGCACGCATGGCTCTGTGGCGCTACCATATCACCTGTCTCACACACGCCATGCACGCCTCTGGACGGCTTCTGCCTTGCTCATCTCTCCCATCCCTCCCATCCCTCTCGTCTCCCTTGCCCCGGCTGCACCCCTGCCCACCCCCCGTGCTCATCCCGCCTGTGCTGCGTGTGGCAGGGAGCGGCGAACGTGGCACGGTGTGTGAACCGGTGGGAGGCACAGGCGCACTGGCACCTGGACGCGCCCGTCGCTGCCATGCAATGGCTCTCCGCCCCGCCTCTCGTACGACCACTGGGGTGAAGGGGGAGGGGGTTGACGGAATGGGGGAATTGAGGAAGTGATTGGGAGGAGTGGGTTGTGCGGGGAGAGCAAGCGTGATGGGAGTGGGTGGATGGGCAGGCAGGGGTGGACAAGCAGGGAGCCTTCATTGCCTTGTGTCATCGCTCTCGCCGAGCAAACAACCCCCTCACTCGCCCCCCAATAACCTCTTCCTTCCCTTTGCGTGCCACCTACCCTGCCACGACCCAATGAAAACAGTACACGTGGCCGCCGCTGCAGGCGCCAGCATCAGTGCAGCCGGGGTCGTTCCACGACCGCTTCTTCCAGCCCCGTGCCCTCTCCCCCGGTACACCGCCATGCCTTCTCCTGCCTGCCCTGCCACCCTCCCTCCTCTGCGCTTGCCAATGCCCTTGTTGCATGCCTTGCTGCATGCCGTGTTGTCACGTGGCTTCTCGTGTATGGCATGTGTCCCTCTCTCCCCTCACTCCCCTTCCATCTCCCACCCGGTCCTTTCCTCTGCTCCCCTCTCTCCCCCCTCTGTCAGCGCACTGGCCGCGCTGCTCTCTGCCGTGCATGGCGCTCGTGCTGCAGCCCAACACACTGCTGCTGCTCTGGCGCTCCACCTCGCACCTCCCGCCTTCCTCCTCCTCCTCGCCACCCACCCACAGCGCACAGACACCACAGACACCCCACCCAGGACTCCCTTCCTCTTCCTCGCTCCCCTCTTCCGCCCCGTCCCCCTCCCCTCCCCCCGCCTCCCCCCAGCCCCTCTGGCTCTCCTCCCCCCCCGCCTCTCTCCCCCTGCCCCCTGGTGGTGTGCTCTCAGCGCATGTCAGCATTGCAGGCCCCGCCCACTCGCTCACCCTCGCTCTCGTCCCCAGCGCCTCACCCTCCTCCTGCCTGCTCTTCCATATCCACACTCCCCCTTCCCCCTCCTCCGCTCCCCTCGCCTCCCCCATCAGCATTTTCTCCCCCTCGCCCTTCTCGTCCCCAGCCCTAAACCCCATCGCTGCAGCTTTGCTGATCAGGGGGGCGCAGGCGGGGGGATTGGGGGGGAAAGGGATGGGGGATGGGGGGAGGGACGGGGGAGGGGTGTGGCTGGAGGGCAGGTTGGTGGCGGAACTGGGACTTGGGGGGGAGGGGGGAATGGCAGTTGGGGAGAGTGGTGGAGGAGGGGAGGAGAGTGGGAGAGAGAGGAGGGAGGTGTTGGCAGTGGTGGTGGATAGCAATGGGGGAGGTGGGAAGGAGGAAGGGGACTGTGTGGCAACGGTGATTGTGGCAGTGGCCGTTGGTGAGTGCTTCCCTTCGCCTCACTCATTCAAGGGTGAATTCTTGACCCTGCTCTCCCTCCTCCAACTTCCCTACTTGCGTAATTGCTCTCGTGTGCGCACTGCCTGTGTGGCATAGCCCACTCATGCCGCCACAACCCTTCCATGCATAACCTTTCTCACCCCACACTCCCTCATTCATCAACCTCCACCCCTTCCCTTGCCGCACACCCCACCCTCTTCCGTGCTTCCTGTACCGGTGCAGCCAAGCAAGTCCACGGCTCCTCACTGCATGCGCCACCAGCAGCCGCATCAGCACCGCCTCTCTCACACGCCGCTCCTCTGTCAGCGCCCACCAGCACTGCTCCCTCCGCGCTCTGCACGCTCTCTCTCACCGTGCAGCGCTGGCACCTGCGCCAGCAGTCAGCGCCTCCCCCAGTGCACCCTATCTTCGACGCCCTAGCAGCCGCCCACGCCACACCTGCACCGCACTCCGCCCTCCCCTGCCCCCCCACCTTCACCTGGCACCTCGCCTCCTCCTCCCCTGACCTTGCTCTCCTGCCCTCTGCCCTTCACCGCCCTGCCAGAGGCACTCCTTGCACTGCACCCACAGGGAGCACTGCTGCTGCCGCCCCCGCACCGTCATCATCAGCATCACCAATCGCTGCTGCGCTGCCTGCGGCCTTGCCTGCGGCCTCACCTGCCCTTGTTCCAGCCCCCACGCCCTCGCACGCTATGCCTGCCATTGCCCTCCAGCTCTCTCCCACAGGCGCTGAGCTCGCAGTGAGCTGGCACAGCGCGTTCACACCTCGGCTGCAGCAGCAGGTGGATGGCACCAGTGCAGTGGTTGACGGGGCTCCATGTGACGTGACTGCTGCATCCCATGACGTCCATACACCCGCTGCTGTCACTGGTGCCACTGGCCATGCACGCATCACTGCCTCGCCTAACGACCCTCTTTCACCTCCCACCTGGCCCTCGGCGTTCCCCCCCTCCATGCCCTCTTCCTCGCATGTGCCCTGCTCCGCCATCATTCTCCTCGCCAACCCCTCCCTCCACCTGCTCTCCATTCTGCACCCCCCACCGCATTCCCCCCTCCCGCTCTCCACGCCGCCCCCGCTCGCCTTCTCCCCCTCGGCGTGCTGCATCGCCACTGCTTGGACCACCCCCATGCAGCAGCAGCAGGTTTCCGTGCGCATATCCCAGGTGCCCCACGTGCCCCTTGCGCCCGCTGCTGCCCCCCCTGCCACTGACACTCGTGCGCCCTCACGGCCTGTGACACCTGCTGCTGTGGGGATGGAGGCCAGTCGCGCGGATGGCATGGGGGAGAATGGGGCAGCGGACGGACAAGTGGGAGGGGAGGGTGTGGCGAAGGAGAGGAAGGCAGGGAGGGAGGGGCGAGAGGGGGTTGCATCATGGGAGCGACATGTGGCTGACAGGTGAGGCAGGGATGCCTATGTGCATGTGTTGCTGCATGCTGTAGCTCCTCTGCACCGTTCCCAATCCCTCTCCCTCGCTGCGTGCCTTCCCATTGCCGTGTGAGCCTATCAGAGTGCAGTGGGCGTGGGTGAGTGGCGTGTCGTGGTGGGATGCTGCCGCCTCTGCCACTGCAGGCGCACCGCAATCGCCAGGTGGGCTATTCAATTCACCAACAAGCTGCTTGCCATGATCGCCACATGTCTCTGCCCAAATGCTTGTCTCACCATGTGCCCGTCCCGTCCTTTCACATGTGCTGTGCTGTGCTGTGCTGTGCGGTGTGGTGTGGTGCAGTGCGCAGCACGTCGCTGCTGGCCCATCTGGACGCGGACTTCCATGCGCTGCCCGATGCCTCGCTGCGCCTGCACTACTTCACTGTCAGCACCCCCCCTCTCCCGCCCTCCACTCCCCCACCACACTTCCCCACATTTTTCACTCCTCTCCCTTTCCATCCTTGCCTCGTTATCTCCTTGTGCCGCAATCTATTTCGCATCCTCAGTTTCCATCCCTCGTGCATTGAGCCACCATCACCCATGCACCCCGTCCCATCAACCCACCCTCACACAAACCCCGCCTTCCCCTTTTCCCTGCGCCATCACCACATGCATGCCTTCCTGCTGCACCCACCAGGAGCTGGACCGTCTCAAGTGCCGCGTGTTGGAGGGCGTGGGGGGAGCGGACGTGCGCGCAGTGATGCTGGACGTGCAGGCGCGCGTGCTGCTGGAGGTGCTGGGGGGCGCCATAGAGTCGGCGCTCGTGAACCCCGCCACGCTCATCCCCTCGCCCTGGACCGCCTCCGCTGAGACCTTCTCCCAGCTCGGCAACGATGCCATGTCCGTCGACCCTGCGCTCATCCCCACCATCCATGTGAGGCCCTCACCTCGTCACACTCTTGCCATGCCGTCTCATGCCATGCTCTGTGTGGCACCATGTGCTTTCCACTTCCCCGACCTCCTGACCCACATGCACATTCATGTGTTCCACCAATCAGCAACCCTCGCCCATGGCCCTCTCCTCGCCTCGCCTGCCCTCCTCTCCCCGTGCAGGCGTACGTGGATTCGGTGTTGGACCTGGTATCGCACTTCCTCACGCGCCTGCGCCGCTACTTCTCATTCTTCAAGACCCTCACCGCCCACGCACACGCCTCCGCCTCCTCTGTCCCCACCCCCCCGCCTGCTGCTGCGCCACCAGCCGCCGCACCTGCCACAGCAGCCACCGCAGCTACTGCTTCTGGATCCGCTGCTGCCGCTGCCAGTGCTGGTAGTGCCGGCGCAGCAACATCTGCATCAGCAGGAGCATCAGCAGGAGCATCAGCGGGCGCCCCAGCAGCAGGTGCCACACACCCCCCTGCAGCGGCGCCTCACCTGCCATCGGCGTCCCCCTCGGCCTTCTCAGGGCTGCCAGCAGTGCGGTTGCTAGCGGACCCACACTTCCTGCACCGCCTGTGCCAGCTCATGTTCTTCTGCCTTGTCTTCCGCCGCCGCAGCCCGCCCCCCTTCGCCTCTAAGGCCGGCGCCGCTGCCGGCGCTGCCGGGGGGATGGGCGTGGGGGTGGGAGGGGGCGCGGAGGGCGCAGGGGGGGGCATGCGGGCAGGGCTGGGGCGGTCGATGGAGGACCGGCACGTGCGGCTGGGGCATGGCAATGGCGGGCTAGGGTACACCCCCGAGGAGGTGAGCACGCAGGGAGGATACGGAGAGTGTTAGGGCAACGGGTGGGCTGGAGTGGATGGTGAAAGAGTGAAGGGGATGCTGCACGGGATGTTACAAGGTGTGTTGGAATGAGGCGGGGATGTGAGAACCGTTTCAACGTTGTTCCTTCCCCCACCTCTCTATTCCGGCCTCGTGTGTGTGTGTGAGCAGGTGAAGGCACTGTTTGTGGTGTGCTCGGAGTTGTGCAAGAAGACAGCACCGCTGCCCGCCACCATGCCGCCCACCCACGTGCCCTCTGCTCCAACACCTGGCACAGCGGCAGCCCCAGCAGGCAGCAGCGGTGGGGGGGCGGCGGGAGGCAGTGGAGGAGGGGGAGGCAGCAGTGGGAGTGGCATGGTGGCGCGGCTGCATTACCCACAGGGCTCTATCTCCGTGCCCCCTGAGGCCATAGAGGCCTGGCTCTCCCCCCAGATGCAGGTGCACTTCCTCCCTCCTCCCATGCACTCCCCCTGTGCATGCACTCCCCCTGTGCATGCACTCCCCCTGTGCATGCACTCCCCCTGTGCATGCACTCCCCCTGTGCATGCACTCCCTCTATGCATCTCCTGCTCTCTCTTGCCCTCTCACATGCCCTCGCCTCCAGACCTTCTCCCCCCCGCACGTCGTCACTCACAACTCCCTGCTCCCCGCACGTCCCACTGCTTGCTCTCTCTGCCTCACTATTCTGCGCTTCACCATCGCTTTCTAGACACGTTTCCCCCACCCACACTGCCCCTCTCTCTCCGCACTCTCCCCCACCTCCCCCACCCCCTGGCTCCCCACGCTGCACCAGTCGCTGCCGCGGCCACGGGGAGCGGATGCAGCGGCGCTGCTGATGCGCGAGCTGGAGCTGCACGCGCCCGCCGAGGACACCCTCCCCCGCCCTTCCCTGCCACCCCCCTGGGCGTCCGTGCCGCCCTGCACTCAACTGGCGGGCGGCGAGAGGGACTGGTGGGAGGACGATGAGGACAAGGGGGGGGAGGAGGGGGGGGAGGGCATGTGGGAGGGGGAGGGGGAGGAGGAGGGAGAAGAGGGGGATGAGGAGGAGGAGGGGTGGAGGGGGAGGGGAGGAGAGTGGCGGGTGCATGGGGATAGTGCAGTGGTGCACCGCAAGAGGAGAGCGAGTCCCTCTGGGTTCAGCAGACATGGCAAACGGAGGAGGGTGCAGGGGCGTGCGGGCGAGGGGGGTGGGGGCGAGAGGGCAGGGAGCGAGCGGGAGGATGGGTGGAGAGAGGACATGCAGGCGAGGAAGCGGGTGGGGAGAGAGGTATGGGGTGCGATGGGGAGGAGGAGAATGGCGAGGGCTTGGAGGGTGGCGGAGGGAGCAAGGAGGTGGCGGGGCATGAGGGGGAGATACGTGGAGGGGGGCGCGTGGGGCAGGGAGGCGTCGCTGCTGGCAGGCGGGGCGGGGGCAGGGCGAGTGGGAGTGTGGCCGCGGAAGCGGCGGGCAGCGGAGAGGGATGCGGCGGTGGGGCTGGCGTGCAGTGCGGGGCTGGGGGGCTTCCTGGGGCTGCAGGGGGGGCGCAGGGACGTGGTGGCCAGCACATGGCGCTGGGGCGGCACCGCACAGTGGTACAAGGTGAGCCATGGGTCCCTGCACCGCACACCACCGCTCTCTGCTGCTGGACCTACACCTCTCCCTCTCCTCATCTGTCCGCATTACTCCACCTTGCTGGCCGTCTGTTGCCATGCATTACTCCCTGTGTGCCTCTCCCTTGCTCCCCTCTGGCAGTGTGTGCGGTGCGGGCGGCAGACAACCACCATGGCAGTGCCTCGGTCCGTGCAGGCACAGGCAGGAACAGCTGGGCCGGGGAGCAATGGTGCTGGGGAGGGGGGCGGGGCAGCAGGAATAGGCAGTGCAAGCAACAGCCTGGCTTCTGAGTGGTGGCCTGCACGCTGGTCGCAGGGCTGCCCTGTGTGCGGTGGTATGTGGACTTGCCTTGCTTGACCACCGCGTGAAATGATATGTACCACCCCATTCATTTTCAGATGCTTGTGTGAAACTAGTGACATGGTTTCTACAACAGTGCAAAGCCCTCTCTTCTAACTTCTGCTCTGGCTCTAAAACTGTTTACTTGGATCCACAGGAAACACAACTTTCAGCAGAGGCAGCTGCAGTACATATTAGTGTAGTGCAAAACAAAGCAGTATCAGGCAGAAGGACTACAGAGACCGGCCTACAAAGTAACGAAAACTCTGTACACAATGCATGGCATGGCATGGCATGGCTGTCACCTTGTGTCCGTCCACACCCAAAAGTGCCTCTTCACGCCCAGCGCACGCTGCTCACCATCACTTCCACTGCCCAGCCCCTCGCCCTCACTGAAACAAACCCCTCCATTCACCCCCTGCCCTGCAGCCCCCTTGCTCACCCCCCCTGCACCTGCTCCTGCCCCACGCCCGCATGGCCTGGGCCTAGGCTCGCCACTGTCACTGCCAGCCCACATGCAGGGCCCTTCGCCGCTGACAGCGGCGCACCTGTGGACCTTACTGCTGCTCTTCGCCTGCCCCTCGTTCTCCACCGTACAAAAGCTCGCTTCCGGCAGGCCCTCCACCACGGCCTCCACCACGTGAATCTCGTACTGGGACCGCAGCCCGGGGTACGAGAACGACTCGCGCTCCTCCACCTGCCGCCGCAGCGTGTCCGCCAGCACCGACACGCGGTGGCTCGCCCCGAGGTCCTCGCCCAGCTCCTCGAGAATACCGCGCCGGCACGCGTCCAGGGGGTTCTCCGCGGGGCGCATCTTCTCCGACAGCGGGCGGTTCCTCGCGCGCACCGTTCCGTCCCCCATCTCCTGCATCGCCTCCAGCAGCACCTTGCCCGTACGAGCGTGCCGCACGTGCACGCTCGCCACGCTCACCTTGCGCAGCGGCGGGCGCGAGTCCACCAGGCACACCTCGCCGTCAACCAGCTCCTGCCACAGATTCGCCACGCGCTTCGTGCCCCGCTCACTGCCCCACCGCTCCAGCACCGCCTTGCCGCCCGGCAACCGCGCCTCCAACCACTCCTGTAGTCGGTCCGCATCGCCAATATCGGCCGCCGTGACAGTTGCGGGGGGAGAAGCCCCGGTATCCATGAACCTGACCTTGGCGGGCGGCGACGGGCGCGCGAGAGGCAAGCGGGTGACGGTGGGCGTGGAGACGGACGCACTGGCGCCAATAAGCCGGTAGAAGTTCCCAGTTAGCTGGCCAGATAAGACGGACAGAAGGCCCACAGCTCCTGTCCACGTGGACAAGCCTGGGCCCGGAGTACCTGGAACCAGCTTCGGCGACGAGCAAGCCTCTTCTCCGGTCCTCCTGGTTGAGTCACCCGGCTCAAGGCCCTTGAATCCCAAAATAAGCGGCACAGAATGCAACTGGTTCAAAGGAGCCTGATCGCTGGTAATAGTTCCCGTCCTGGGGGAGACCGCGGACGCCGCTACTGATGACCTAAGCTGGGGAGGAAGGAAGAGAGGAAAGAAGGCAGGAAACAGTGTATGTGCGTGGATGGGAAATCGAACGATAGGTCTGTGACTACTGTTCCCTGCTCTATGCGAGGTCTCGGTCCGGTCGAGGGGAATGGCGGACAACGGTCTGTCACATGGGCCCGCTTGCTTCTCGCCGCTAAGTGCTGCGTCCAACAGACTCTTGCTGTCCTCAAAGCTAGCCTCAGCCTCCTCCTTAGAACGGTGGAAGGCCCTGGCTGTTAACTTCCGTGTGCAGCAATAACTCCCGGACGACCCATGCCGTGGACACGTAAACGGCGACCTCGCCGCGGAACCACTCCGTAGGACGTGCCTCGAAGCCGACAGACGAGAGAAGGCCGGGATCCTAATATTTACAGCGACCCCGCGTATGCGCGCTGGCGCACCAGGTGAGACGACCGGGATGCGGCAGGTAGCCTCCTCAAATAGACCCAGCTGAATCATTTAGACTTGAGCTCCAACACCTCCAAGTGCGGCGAGACGCCTTGGGTTACTCAGACGACCCGCGACTTAGAGACGGTATCGCTTAGTCGAAGCAGCCATTCGCGTGGTCGACGCACTCCCGGTGGACTATCGTGGTGACGGAATAGATGACGGAAGCAGATAGCGCATTCCCGCCACGCAATAAAATGGGGATGACAGTGAGAGGAGGCGTGAGCGGAGAAGCAAGCAGCAAGGACGACGCGATGGGAGAGCATGCACCCCGTGTGCTGCTGCTGAGCCGTGCGTGCTCTGCTGCACTGCGCGCGGGCAGACCTGCAGCACCTCCAACCTTGGATTCGATCGGCAGCATCAATCTGGGGGTGCGGTATGGACGGTGATGGTCGGAGTGATTGACGTAGCGATGACATCGTACGGTGGAACGACGTCTTGTGCACGCGAAGCAATTTTTTTGGAGCGAACAAGAGTGGCCAGGTGGATTGAGGATGCCATGTGGACGGCAAAAATACGACCACGTCAGAGCACCTCATCTCAAAGTATGGTCGTTCTGCTCGACACTTGTCAGCGCAAGAAATTTCAATATTTGTAACAAATTTATGATGCTATTTATTATACGTATCTATAATCTTTCAGCATCCTGATCAACTAGACATGGGCCTAACCGCTCTCACATTTGTGAAAACCCTGCTGTCCTACATTCTCAAACTACCAAATGATTGGTGGACGGACATCATCATTTAGCACAATCCCTTTCACCATCAGTTGCTTTGCACATAAAGCTCCATCGGTCAATTCGATACCCCCTGTGGGATCTAGAGCAAGGAGTGGTGCTTCTGATCTTTCTACATGACCGAGCGAACACAAACCACACACGTGGCATGACCATGACGACTTCCGTATAGATGCAGGCGTGGCAGCCCACAAGGCAGCAACACAGTGTCCCTCGCTGTACAGGACCAGGTGGGCCCCACAACTCAGTTGGACGAACACTAGAAGCTGACATACTAATCAGTTGGACGACTTAAGTGCGTGAGTGTAGGTGTGCATATTGGAACATGCGGAGCAGGAGAGAATAGAAATGCAGCCATGCAGTGTAGGTGAGAACTGGGAGGATACTGGGCAGGCGAAGGGGGTGGAGGGTATGAGTTGAGAAGGATGCAGGGATGTGGAGCAGGGAGGCATGGTACAGTGTGGCTGAGTGGTTTCAGTATGACATCTCCGTAGCATCGGAGCGCGTGGAGACGTGCTTGGTGATCCACATCGCTATGTCCTCTGCACATGCCTCTGCCTGTGGCGTGTTCACCATGCCCTCGTATGTTGCAAACCCATGCACCACGTCCTTGTAGCTGTTCACCTGCATCACACACACATGTACAGCACACCGCAGCAGCAGCACCGGGCACCATTGAATGCTGGAATCAATCATGGTCAGCAAGCAGCTTTGCACTAAAACATCAGCCCACATGCTGCTACAAGGCCACACACACCGCAGATGCCCGCACCCCCCCTCCCCCCTACATCCACACCCACCACCCGCTTCGTCTTCCCTCTTCCCCCACCTCCCCACTCCCCTCTTCCCCCTCTCCCACCCCTACAGCATTCCCGTGCCGTGCATGCGGAGCAGCGCCCACCTGCACGTCGATGCCGAAGTTTTTGAGGAAGACGGAGTAGGCGATGGCGCGGTCGGTGAGGATGTCGTGGTCCGCCACCACCAGCAGCGTCGGCGGCATGCCCGGAGGCAGGTGCTCGCGCAGCAGCGGGTTCACCGCCGGGTGGTCCAGGGAGAAGTCGTCGTCAGGCAGGAAGAGGCGGAAGACGAGCTCACACGTGGGCTTGTCAAAGAAGTAGGCGTCCCGCGCCTTCATCTCGCTCGGCGTCGGCATGGACCCCGCGAATAGAGGGTACAGCAGCACCTGTATGGTGCCACATGGGACAGGTGGGAAGGGGGAAATCGTCAAATTAGTGTGACAAGGAGGAGGTGAAGCCCACGGAATCTGCCTAGAGCGTGCGTCTGCTCTTCACTCACTCTGCCTCATCAAGCCCAGCTGCCCCTGGCCTGTGCACCCACTGGTCCTCCTACCTGCCCGAGAACCACCAGTGGCTGCAGCTCGTTCACCCCGTGCGGTGTGACGCAGCGCCGTGCCACCTGGTCTGCCACGTTGGCACCCGCACTCACACCCAGGAGAATGCACCTGAAAGGGGGGGAGACGGGCGGAGGGCACAGAAGCTGGGCAATGAGCCGAGGAGATGGTAAATAACGAGCGTTAAACGAAAGGTGTGCGTGGTATTGAGGAGAGAACGAGAGGTTACGCGAGAAAGGATGAGATGAGTCGCTTGGTGTGTCCATACGCATGCTGGCGCGCACCTGTGCACATCAGCGTGTGCGGCGAGCCAAGGGTCTGGTAGCTCCTGCACCAGCCGCGTTGTCAACCCCCTCATCTCATCCCCCGCTCCCACTTCTCCGCCCTGCTGCACACGCGCGCGCGCGCACACACACACACACACACACACACACACACACACACACACACACACACACACACACACACACACACACGCACACACACGGACACACACGGAGAGGCGTGCAGGAGCACAACGCAGGCACACAGCTCAACATTCCCCCACCCACACGCGCATGCATGCACCCACATGAGGCAGCCAACAACCACGCATGAGGGAGAGGGCAAACGGGGGCGGGGTGGCGGCGGAGTGCAATGGAACCTCTCAAAAGAAAGGAAGGAGTGGAAGCAATGTCATGGCCTTCACGTGAGCCGAAGCTGCCACTTCCTACTACCTCTCATCGACCTCCCATGGCTTTCAAACACGCGCCATAAGCCCCCACATTCCATGCTCGCATCCACGCTCTCACCCGTTCACCCTGGGTCACCTGCGCGTGCGAGGAGCGCACGTCGGCCTCGGCGTCAGCGAGGATGGCCTGGCGCGACAGCCACTTGAGCACCTCGTACCCGTCGTCGTACGCCGCCGGACACTTGTGCTCCGGCGCTAGCCGGTACCCCACCGCCACCACGATCGCGTTGCACACCTGCGCGCATGCGCGCCCGCCGCGCGGAGAGGCGAGGCCAGAGGGTTAGGGGGAAGCGGAACATGAGATTTGAAGCGAATGAGATGCACGATGAGGGATCCGGGCTACGGCATGGACTGAGACGACCAGGGTGGAAAATGAAAAACTTAAATTCGCATGGCTAGGTCGTGAGGCATGTCTGTTCGCTCGCGCGTACGGACAGATCCCGTGGCCTCCGCTCAGCACGCGCTACCCCGAATCTAGGCAGCGGCACACGCACTGGCCCTCATGTGCAGCAATGACAGTCACGGCGGAGCGAGGAAGCAGTGAGGGCGGAAGGCGGTACCCGTGCGAGTCGTCGGCAGAAGGTGTCGTTGCAGGCGGAGTCCTTGCTGCCGGTCACGAACGCGCCCTCGTGGAATTGCACGATCACCGGCAGTTGGTGGTTCGTGCCCGTCGGATTCGGCACGTACCCAGTGTACGGCCCGCCGCTGCCCGCTGCACCCTCCTGCTCCTCGTCCGCCGCTCCGTTTCCGTTGCCCGCCCCGGCGGCGTCGCCGTTCGCGCCCTGCCAGAACTGCTCATTGGCGTCGCCCGGCGGTGGAAACCACTCGCTCGCTGTGCCCATGCGACGCATCATCCACCCGAATTCATTTATTTTGCCTGGTTGAATAGCGCAAGCTGGCAGAAAAATTCGAACGCTCAGACCCGTGTTGTCGTTGATCCTCACATCTTTAGTCGCGACGCCTTCAGAAAACGAGGCATTCGGACGAACAGCATTCACTGGTGGTCTCGACACTTTGCTGAAATCCTTTTGAGCGAGCGCGCGGGCGAATCTGCTGCGGAGACCTGCTTTGAAGTTGTAACTCTGCCACCCTGCAGAAAACGAGGCCATGTGTAGGGTTATTGAGGATGTGCAGATTGGTGTATGCTTGCGAATGTGAGGAAGTCACCACTGCCGAGCGACGGATTTGATGGCCGGAGATCAGAAAACCTATAACGTGCTAGTTAAGCCCATTGTCTGAGCCGCAACGAGTTCTGAATGCAGAACGAGACTCTACGGTTCCTAATAAACGCAGGAAGTCGTACGCTGAACGTTCTATACAAGCTACGTTGCTTATCCTTGCAGCCTTAGAGATGTGGATACGCCTCGACGATGATAAGCGAATCTAGATTGTGGAGGCCATTCTCAGTGTGTTCACCTCGTTTGTGATCTGTCTCGAGGCTTCTACCTCAAGCCCAAGAAAGCAGGGAAGAGGTGGCGCGGACGTAGGAGCTGGGCAATATGATGGGGAAGTGCCCCTTGAATTACGTGGGCAAAGGTTTTGAAACGAAGGTTTTGTACCCAGGCCCTCTAGCCCGGTTACGACCGTGGATGGTGTTTTTTGCATTGTATAATGTGATTTCACCTCCAAAAAAAAAAAAAAAAACTTTACCGATCTCGAAATGAAATGGACGTTGGGCCAAAAAGGGTGGTATAGCTAGTGACAATTGCATTGTTTCTAGTTCCAGGGTGGGCCTCACAGAGCCAAAAGTAAATCCGTAACCATTCCCTCTGTTTCGGCTGTCGTTGGGGAAACAGAGAAACGTCCTGTCATGTGTGCCCCAAATTCGTGTGCAGACGAAGTGTTACACAACTTTTTATGCTTTCGCGAAGTGTGCTACTGGTCACACCGAAGGTTACCCTGGACTTTGCACGCACCTTTGTGGAGATTGCTCGTCCCCCAGCGGTCCCCCCAGCGCGGCGGGGACGCCCTGGAGAGCCCAATGTGCTGAGCTGTCAGAGTGCGATACGCACTGCCAGAGGCCGTTGAGCTATCCGTCTGTCGCAAACACAGATGTCGCCAAGATTGTCTGCACGACGAAGGCCGTGGATGGTTCTATTTATAGGCTGATATCGCTTGCCCTCCTATCGAGTACAGAAACATCGCGGGTGGGAAATTCATTGCGGAGCGCGCTGCTCACTGAAACAGTGAGCGACTCGGCTGCCTGACTTGATTCCCTCCAATGTCGTGTGCGTCACATCAGCTGTCTTTCAAGTCGAAACTGAAGAGAACAGTTGACACACGAGACAACCCCTCCACTTCAGACCCCAACCACTCCTACCAGACCAATGGCGTCTCACACACCTTTTGCAACTCACCAGATTTGGCGCCAAGGAACTTCTTGACGAGCTGATGATGCCTCAATAACATCACTGGCTTCACTACATTCTGGCGTTTGTGTTCGGCCCATGGTAGCCGTGCCTTCGTTGCAACAGGCGTGCTGGCTCAGCTACTTTAGTATAACATTATAGTAGTAGACCGCTTTCACTAGTACCGTCGCGGCCTATGCGCGGAGCCAAACCAATGCTTATAGGATCAAACTACGTTCTCCCGCACACAAGGCGTTAAGGCCATGCAACGGGGCGGCATGGCCACGATGGACTCGAAGCCCATTAGATCCAAGCTAGAAGGCGAAGTAGCGTACTTACAACGGATACTAGTAGAGCAGCGGGAGGAGAAGGAGCTAGAGATACAAGCGCTAAGAGAGACTTTGAACCAGATAGTGACGCGCCATGCGGAGGAGCTTCAGGCAGTGAACAGCCAATGGGAGGGACTTGTGGGCACACTCAGAGAGGATGGCGATGGGGAGCTGCCCGGCGGCGGAGCGCACACAGCCCAGATTAAGGACCAAGCGATGTTCTCCAAGAAGCTAGCTGCTCGAGCAGCAGCGGCAGCACTAGCGATAGATAGAATGAATCCTACGTTAGACTCCGATGCGGTTTACCGTGTGGGATTAGCTGGAGCAGTGCGGTGCCCGCATTGCGGATGCGACATTACTGAGACTGTGCGGGACGCAGACGTGCGGGAGAGATGCACGAGCAGTGACGAGAGGGAGGGGCGGAAAGGGCGAAGCGGAGAGGTTAAGGGCGTCGATGGGATCGTGGTTGCGGAGCAGCGGAGCAGAGGCAGGAGCCGGAGACGGAGTAGACGAAGGAGCAAGGCGTCAGGGCAAAACAGCAGCAGCGGAAGCTTCAGAGGTAGCAGCAATGACAGCAGCAGGCCCAGCGGACGGTGTAGCAGCAGCAGTAGAAGCAGTAGCGGTAGTCGGCGGGAAGAGAGCCAGGCACTGCGGGAGCAGGTGGACGAGCTAAGCCGGGAGCTGGAGCGGGTGCAGTCGCAGCTATGCATCACACGGCGTCGCCTGACGGACTCCCTCGTGCAGCTGCAGGTGTCGTGCATGGACGACGCCGCTGCCGGCCTCAGCAGCGTAGACGCGCCTCCGGCAGCCCTTGCCACCCGTGCTATGAGCCTAGTTTCGTTGTGTGACTTTGGATGGTCGTCCAGCAGCGTGGGGAAAGATCTGCCAGAGGGTGTTCGGCTTACCGCGGGAGGGCGTTGCGTGGACGGGGCTCGGCAGGCGAACGAGGCGTGGCTGTTGGAACTGTTCGTGTCGCAGGTGCATCGTGTGGCGGAGTGCATGGAGGCCTATTGCGGGAACGTGTCCCGCCGCCTTTCACGGCAGGGTTATAGAACTGATCATTTAGTGCTGGAGATGGTGGGAGGAAAAGCGGCGCACCACGCGGACGATGGCAGTGGGGCGGGTAGCGACGCGGAGAGCTGCCACAGCTACCAGCATAGTCGGCGGCGGGGGCGGCATCGCAGCGAGTGCGCGTCGCTGCTGGACTGCGTGCTGAACATCGCGAGCTGCGTGCTCTTCACGGACTTCGAGGCGGAGGACTTCGTGCGCGCGGGTTTCAGCCGCCTGCTCAGCAACGACGAGCGCTGCGCCATGAAGCTCTCCAAGTTCTTGGCGCTCAAGGAAAAGGACCGCGCGCTCAGAGGCAGCTTCGACGCCATCCGCGAAGCCAAGTTCGCCCACTTCTGCTCGCGACGCCTGGAGGAGCTGGGCGAATGGCTGCAGGCAGCGGCGCTGGCGGGGGGACGCGAGCTGACAGACGAGCGCATGTCCACAGCGCTACTGGGCGATGAAGGAGACGAATTCGCTGCGGCGTCGTCAGACTTCGTCAGCTTGTGTCGCGCTGTGCTCGGCCTGCACGAAGCCGCGTGGTCTTTTGGCTGTCCTCTCCGCATCTCCCGCATCCCCCCCAACGTCCCATTTGATCCAGCTTTGATGCGACCCTATACTTGGACAGAACCGACTGGTCCACCAGGTGAACCTAGTGCAGGTGCAACTGCGGGGTTCAGCATTTTTGGCACAGCTTCAGAAAGTGCCGTAAGGAGCGGGCTGACAAACAGTGCGAAGAATGGAGGTGGCAGCAGTGGAAGTGAGGGAGGCATTTTGGTGACATCACAACTGGTCCCTGCTTTCCTGACAACCCATCTCGTTGTGCAAGGAGTGGTGGTGACCAGAAAGCCTTCACAATAGCAACTTATACCTACCGTAGCATACTACTAACTTCATAACTCTTAACTCACCTTAGGCATAAAGCTGAACTATAATCTGACTGCTGACGTTAGCTTATTGTTCCCTAATTGTACAGAATACAGCGAAGGATTACGGAAGCATTCCTCTCCTGCCCAATTTTATAGTTTGTCGAAATGTATTGTTGAACGTGGCTGTTTAAAGATTGGTTAATTTGTGAGAATAATCAATCAGCTCTCTGTGTTTGGTTTCACAACTCTTGTATCAAAGTTGCTGGACTAGCTTATCCCACACAAAGCAGCTGTGAGCTCAATCAACCAAGGACTGATCCAAAGAGAGCTCCAAAACTCAACGAAGGCACAGATGGAGGGGAAGGGCAAACCGGCCCAGCACCAGCACAGAGCAAGGACAGAATACGGTTTTCTTCCCTTCCCGCCCTCACCCGTGTCGGCCCATCATACACTTTTGTTTCGTATTCAAATCCATCAACGAGCGATTCACACCCGTTCAAAAACTCTTCCCGCCCTCAACCTTGTCAGATTTGCCCCGCAGGTTTCGTCAACTGCTGATGTTCCGAGCAACGAGCCCAGGGCAACACCATTCTGCCCAAAAAAAATATTCGAAAGCACCTGCCCTGGTTGATGAGGCTCATGCGTTCGTGAACCATCGCCAGAGCTTTCCTGGGTTTCGCAACACTGCCGTACCAAGGAGGGTAACAGGTGCGGTTGTTTTTCACCAGGAGCGCACAAATGCTGGTTTGGATGGAAGATCTGCCCGTCGTGTGAGCGCCAAAACCAACTTGACCCCCAACCCCCAGCGCCACACTGCTGGATGGCGGATCCGAGAGGTTCTGCGCTTCCCCCGCGAGCTCACCTGTACTTCGCTCCCCCAAGCAGTTCCATCTGAAGCTGTAGTGAAGCTAGCGATAGAGGTCCACAGGACAGCGCATTGCAAGGCAGAATTAGTGTGAACCACCATGGCTGGTGGAAGTGCGAGATCAAGTGACTTATCGCGTGTCATGCAGCGCGTATCGGAGCTGCATGGAGGAATAACCAACGCTATCGAGCGAGCTATTCGCGATGACTTTTACCCCGCCAATAACCGGCGCAGGTAACGGTGCCTTCCACATGTCTCGCGCTGCTCGCTCCGATACACTGCTTCCTTTGCATGCTCTCGCTCGTCTGACGCCCTCACGCCTCCATTTCTTACGTCCCAACGCCATATTCGATCGTCATCGCCCCTGCACGCCCTATGGCGACAATGATGGGGCACTGCAGCGTGCAGCATTCCTCCTGTCGCTCGTGCCCTTTTCACGATGCTGTCATGTCACTGTCGCCTCTTTGTCTCCTCTTTCAGTCGCTTCTGACATTCCCTCACTGGTCCCGAGATTTGGACGTGGGAGCGTGCAGTCTATGCAGCTGCGTCCTGCGTGCATGCGATTGAGCGTTTGAACGATACATGGACGATACATGAGCATGTGCGATATTGATGCAACTGTGTGCGATTCGGTGGGCTGTGTACTGCGTGGTGCAGCGACGCGCCGTTACTGGAGGTGGAGGACGGCCCGCAGCCCATGAGCGCCATCGGCGGGGATCTCCGCCATGACGGCGCGTCGCTGCGCCACGAGGGGCTGGCGCTGGAGAAGAACGCGGAGGCGCGGAGCCTCGTCGCCGTGCGCAACGCGCTGGAGGAGCTCGAGGCGCACCTGGAATCGCTGCAGGTACGCCCTCCCTTTCCGCTCCGTGTCGCGCGCTTTAAAACTCAGAGTCCATCTTTCCGCCTCGCCCTCCGCCTCCTCTCTCGCGCATCTCGTCGCGGCCAGCGTTTCTTCTCTCCCACGGTCCCTCGCCGTGCCCAATGCGCGTCCCTCACATGGCCTCTCAACGTTCCCTTTTCTCCGCGTCGTCCGGAGCAGGACGTGAGTCCGGCGGAGCGCGAGTTGGCGCTGATGGCGGTGGAGGCGAAGCGGCAGGAGCTGCTGCAACACCTGCTGGCGCACCAGGGCCGCGAGTGGCAGGTGAGGGGAGAGTTGGGTGTGTGCGGCGAGACGCAAGCAAGGTCACGCGGGGATGCGGCGGGAGTGGCGTGAGTGCTGTTGCGAGCATCGGGGGAGGCGCATGCGGCACGTCATCCGCTTCTCTGGGCTGTGCTTTGCATCATAGTCAGCGCAGCGCTGATCTCCCTTCCCCATCTCTCCGCCTTCCCCCCCTCTTCCCCTTCTCCCCCCGCGGGGTGACCGCAAGCAGGTGGTTCAAGAGCTTCTGGGCTTCATCGGCGACACGTCAGCGCCGCGCACGGACCTCAGTCTGCCGCCGTACACGCACCCCACGGCGCCCGGGCCCCTGCCGCCGCTGTACCACACGTTCCACCACCAGCAGCTGCAGAACCACCCGCCCGCCTCCCTCGCCACTCCACTGCCTGCGCCCCGCCGCCCCGCGCACGACCCGCCGCAACAGCAGACGACCCCGCAGGCCAAAGCGGTGGCGCAGCAGCAGCAGGGCAGGCGCGCGGAGGCACGCGCGCACTCTCAGCATCAAATTCCGGTGCAGCAGCAGCAGCAGCAGCAGCGGCGCAGGCAGCAGTCGCAGCACGGGCCGGCGGACTCGTCGTCGAGCATGTCGTCGTCGCGGCTGCTCGGCGCGCAGTTCGGCACCGCCTCGTCCACGTCGTCGCCCGCGCACGACGACGGCGAGGTGGACCAGGCGCACGGCAAGGGCGCCACGCGCCCGGGGCAGGCGCGCGGAGGTAAACTGGCGCACATGCAGCAGGGCAGCGACGGAGGGGATGCCGGGAGGCAGGTGCGCTCCATGGTGAGCGGAGAGGAGGGGTGGTGGTCGGAGGGGACTGGGCACGGGGGCACGTGTGCGGGGTGCATGCGGGGTGATGCAAGTGGCAGTGAGAGGGAGGAGCAGTCGTGGGGGAGTGAGGTAGCTGGGGTGAGAGGAGGCGGGTCGGTGAGCTGGCAGGGCACGCACGGGGATGACAGCAGCACCGCTTGCATGTGCTGCAGTGCGGCCGCTGCTGCTGGTGGTGGTGGCAGGAGCAGTGGGCTGACGAGCAACACAAGCCCATACATGTCAACAGCAGCAGGCAGGCCAGGCAGGTCTGCTGCCGCCGCCATGGCTGCGCCCTCTCGCCCCTCCGCGACTCCTCCCGGCCCCACGGCGCTGCTGGGGTCTCTGGTACAGCGCGTGCTGCTGCCGTCCTGCCAGCGCGCCGCAGGGGTCATCTGGGGCGGGTTCCGCATGGTGCTGGGGAGAGGAGGGGGTGTGGGCGCACAGGTGGCGATGGTGACAGTGGGAGTGTGCGTGGGCGTGGGCATCACTCTCGCTGCACGCAACCACCTGCCACTGGCGCACAGCCGCAAGCAGCAGCAGCGCCACCACAAGAAGCAGCATAGCAAGCAACACTCTCTGTCTGCCGCCTCTGCCTCTAAGCCGGTCGCTGCAGCTGCCCCTGCTGCTGCCCTGTCTGCAGCCACTACAAAGACCAACCCCAGTCCCCCGCGCCTCTCGGATGTCTCTCCTGCCGCCGCCGCTGCTGTCGCTGCCGCCGCTGCTGCTGCTGCAGCTGCTGCCACTCAGAGAGTGGGTGGGGCTGCGGGAGTGGACAAGGGCAGCGGAGAAGGTGGTGTGGGGCAGGGCATGGGTGGCAGCGCAGGGAGCAAGAGCGGCGGTGGGAGTGGAGTGATGGTGCCATCGGTGGTGGTGTCTCGAGAGGCTGTGGTACCGCCATGTGACGCCTTCCCTGCCACCAACCCCGCCTCCAACCCGCCCGCCTCCACTGCCCCCGCCACGCCGTCTGCCTCGTCCACCTCCCCTCGCTCCCAGCGCCAGCGCCAGCGCGGTGCGCATGCTGCAGCGCACCGACCGGACATCTTTGAAGGCCGCGGGTGACAGCCACTGTGGCAGCCTATGGTAGATGAAGCTTGCCGGCTCTGACAGATGAATCAGGAGATATGTGTTCCAATTTTCAGCGTGTGTGTGCATGTGTGTAACCCCCTCCCTGCCCTCTTTCCCTCTTCCCCCCCCCTCTGTACCCCGCTTGTATTCATGCCTAGACCTTGTTTGTGTCTCAAAAGGGCTAGGCGGTTTCTTTTGTGGTGTGGTTTTTGGATCAATAACATATTAACAAATCTGGCTCAAATCGAGAAATTACGAATACATGATCTTTTGTGTTCAACGCATTTAGTTTGTCCAAGAAAAGGACTATAGTGCAACGGTTTTATTACTACAAATCATTCCAAACCTTGCTGCTGCAACTGCGAGTGGTACAACGTGCTGCCTCAACACCACCAGTGCCCAACAGTTGCCATCCCCATCCCGTCTTCTTTGAAGCCAGAAGCCATGGCGTCGCCTTCCGACGTCTCCTCCACTCTTCTCTCCCGCCAAGCCCTCGACGCGCTGGGTGCGGCGGAGGCGGCGGTGTCGCAGCTGGAGACGAGCCTAACGCCCATCGTCGATCGCTGCTCGTCGCGCGCGCTCGCGGCGGACCTCGCGCCCATGGACCGCGCCAAGGCGCATCTGGTGACGGCGCACGCGGCGGCGTCGCTGTTCTGCCTCGTGCTGCGGTCGTACGGGATGGCGCCCAGCGAGCACGGCGTCGCGAAGGACATGGCGCGCATCGACTCCTACGTCCACAAGGTGCGCCTCGCCGACACCGCCGGCGGCGCCGGCGACGGCGCGGTGGGCGCGCCGACGTCGTCGCTGAACGTAGCGGCGGCGAACCGGTTCATCGTGCACGCGATCCCGGACCTGACACCCGAGCAACGGCGGCTGGTGCGCGAAGCAGGGAAGAAACGACGGCCGCGCGGAGGGGATGGTGGCGGGGAAGGGACGGGGGGAGAGGGGGAGGAGGGAGGTGTGGGTGGGGGCGAGGCGGAGAGGGCGGGGAAGAAGGTGAAGAGCGTGCGACAGGCGGCAGAGGACTTTCTGGCCATGGCGGCTGCTGACGTGGCGACGGAGGAGGGCGAGGAAAGATAAGACAGGGAAAGCGAGGGTCTGTAGTGGACCGCAAAAAATGCGCAGGGGATGAAAGGACACCTGGAGATGAGCGGGGTTAGGGCTTATGGGAGGAGAGTGCGGTGTGCGGGGTGGTTCAAGTCCTAGGATGGAGGGGAGGCCGCTGGGAGAGCTGGTAGAGACAAGGGGAGCATGATGAGTGGGCAGTGTGGCGGTGGCGTTAGAGGCCGTATAGCAAGAAGATGGTGCGAGCTGGACGCTAACACGCAAGACCCTGAAAGGCTCGAGTGGCAAGTGTTGCGGGTGAGAGGTAGCAGCATGACACTCTAAACCCTGAGAAGCCCATCCCTGTTGATTACTTGCATCGGCCAAACGCCAATGAGGTAGCATCATTGCTAACTACTGTGATGTGGCGGTGGTACAATATGTGTTTTGAGTTGGCATGGGGCAACCCGCGCTGTCCATACTCACAGTGGGCAATGCCTGTCAATTCTCCTCACATGCTTGCATATCACATTCCATGGCTGCCTGTCCACAGGTGCTCTTGCTGATAGGAAGATATGCTGTAACGTTTTTTCGCACAATGTAAAATAAAGTGCTAGCGGATCTCGGTTGCTAACGTAGCCTACACATGATGAAACAACAGCAGGGAAAACGATAAAGGTTAGTACGTTATGCAATTAACACCTTACAGTGAGGCACACTGCAACGGATGGGTTCGTGTTTCAATTCGGTTATTGGCATAACCCCTCGCACTGTTACTGCGATCAGCAACAGAGCATGCTGTAGCGAGACCAGGATTGCTGTTGGTGAGTCGTTGCTCGCATCATTGCCAGAAAAAGCACGTCGGACCTATTAGCTATGTCGCTGCGCGCTTCGGCGATCCCTTCTAGCTAGCTATTTCGGGCTGCATCTACCGAGGCGTAGTGTCACCACCACGCGGCGGCCATGGCGTCGCACGCGGAGGACCAGTCGTCAGCGCTGTCGATGGAGTCGGGCGAGAAGATCATCGTCGCAAGTGATCATCGCACGCCCCTCCTGCTCCGCACGCTCGCGCCTTCCTCTTGCTAGTCCACGCCATGCGTCGTATGCGGCGAGGCGACTCACCTTGTGCCGCCGCGCGCTAGCAACGGGGCGAACACCGCTCGTCGCGGGCATTGCGGCGACTGCCCTGCTCACCCACTTCTGCTGCTTCCGCCCATTCTCCTGCTTCCGCCTCGTGTCCATCCCGCGCGCATCCCTGCTCCATGCCTTTTCCCCGCGTCTACCTCGACCCCACCCCGCCGTTCCACTCGATGACATCCTGTGATCTCACCCCCAACCCCCTTGCGCCTCCCCCCACCCCACCCTCCGCCCCTCCCCCGCCACTGTGGCGCGGCAGTCGAGGACGAGTGGAACGTGTGGCCGTCGGTGCGCCAGAGCTTCGAGTCGCGCCTACCGCTGAAGAAGCTACAGCTGCACAACCGCGCGCGCAAGGCAGTGGACCTGGACCGGCTGCCGCTGGAGTACGTGCTGACGTCCGAGCCCAAGCTGCGCAGCCGCCCGCCCGTCAAGAACAACCCGCACTGGTTCCGCCACCCCTTCGCCACGCTCGTCCTCCTCGCCTGCCATGTACGCCCCCCGCTCCCCCGGCCCCCGCCCCTGCTCTCTCTCTCTCGCCCCTCCTTCTGCGTCGTCCCCGCCCAACACGCACCCGTTGTGCCCCGCGTCGTCAACGCGGGTTGCCATGCAGCGTGCTGGTCCATGAGGCATCTCTCGCCGTGCTCACGTGTGTTGCCTTCACACCTTCATTCAACGCCCCCCCACTCCATCGTTCTCACTCTCACCACGCGCATCCTCGTCCTGCGCGCCCCACCCACACCGCACTGCCCTCCACCTCCTGCTCCTCCGCACTACCCTCCCCCCACCCCCCTTCTTCCCCTCGCCCACTTCCCGTGCCCCGCGCGCCAGGATCCGGACGAGTACCGGGTGAGTCTGCGCGCGCGGCTGCAGGCGCTGGTGAAGGCGGAGCAGGGCGAGTGGCTGATCGTGCACGTGATGCGCGCAGGGCCCAACGACCCGGCGGGCAAGCAGGCGCGCAAGGTGTTTGCGCGCATTGAAGACCACTTCCGCCGCGACAGGTGCCCCTCCCCTCCTGCCCCCTCGCTGCATGCCCCTCACTGATGCCCCTCTCTGCACAGTCCTGCTCCCTGCTTCGCCCTGGCTGCTTGAGTCTTCTCTGCACCCTTGCACGCCTCCTTAAATCCCAATCCCATGCTCATTTCCTCCCCCTCCCCCTTCCCCCGGGTGCATGGGGGTGGTGGGGGCGAGCGTGGGAGCAGGTGTGTGCGGCTGGATCTGAGTGCAGCGGAGCCCAACTACATGGAGGTGGAGGGCAAGGTGCTGGAGTGCATCCGAGCCAGTGTGGACGCGCGCACGCTGCACTACTCTGAGGCCGTGCGCCGCCTGCTCGACCAGCGCCTCTCGCCCTCCTTTAACTTCTGCGCCTACTACACTGATAAGGTGCGCCCCTGCCTGCCCCATGCTGCCCCCATGCTGGGTGCTGCCTCCACAGTTGCCCTGTTGCAACCTTGGGAGCAGGCAGTGCATTATGGATAGAAGCGGTTCTTGCTTCTCCACATTCCCAAGTGTTGCTTTCTCTTGCCCCCATCTTCCTCTCTCATCCTCATCTTCCCTCCCTCGTCTTCCCTTCCCCCACCTGTGTGTGTGCGTGTGATGATGGCAGGAGAGTTTGGCGCTGATGGCGGAGATGGCGCAGTTGAGGGACGATGCGTTGAGGGACTATGACGAGATGGAGCAGGTCTACCTCGACACAGGTCCGCGCCCCCCACACACACGCTGTCCCCCCACCCCATGCCACCTCGCACCTAGCCATACTAATTGCACCACACCACCATGCCTTGCTTACACACACCACAGCCCAACCAACCCACCACCTTGCAATATCTCTTCCATGTGCTCCCGTGCCCTGACGTGTGTGCGTGCTGTATGGTGTGGTGTGTGTGGTGCGGTGCGGTGCAGTGCGGCGGGCGGACAGCAAGGTGCGGGAGTTTGGGGGGTTGGACGTGGGGGATGAGCGGGCGGCGCTGCTGGACGCAGGGCGCAAGCCCATGAAGATGTTTGCCCACGAGGAGACCATCAAGCAGTTCGACTTCCGCCAGTACCTCTTTGCCCGCCGCGCCGCTGTATGCTCCGCCCTTCCACTCCACGCCAACCCCACTGCACTCCCTTCCGGCCCCATATCACGCCACATGCACCACCGTGCGCCAGCATTTCAGCCTCATCCTTGTCGTTCGCACTCGCAGCACGCACTTGTGCCTTGCGACACCTTCCCACTCGTTCCCCCCAACCCCATCACGCCCCCCGCAGCTGCTGTTCGCCATGGGGCGGCCAGCAGTGGTGGCGGACAGGGCGTACGCGTTCATCCTCGACTTCTCCAAGGAGCTTGCTGCCCGCCAGGTGCTGCATGCCTCCCCCTGCACTGACCAACCATACACCGTCCATCACCCTACACTACCTCGCACTCTCACCCCTCGCACCAGCACAACCGCTTTTTTTTTTCCTCGCCCGAAGCCACTTCCCCCCCTCACAGTCGCTGCGTGTGTGCATGCGCATCAACCCCTCTCTCCCCCCTCCCCCGCTTGTCCCGGGCAGCGAGAGTTGCCGTTCTGCATGAGGGAGGTGTGGGTGCTGTCGGCATGCACGCTGGTGACGACGGTGTGTGCGGAGCGCTTTGCCCCGCGGTCCCCGGGGCACTACACGGAGAAGGACTTCTTCCGCCTGCAGGGCGACCTCATCTCCCTCGCCCGCTCCAAGGCACGCCGCCTCTCCTCCACTCCCCGCCCCCCACCTCCCCCTCGCCCTGCCTGCACCATTGCACCATCTTCACGACACCGACTGCGCACTCATTTCTTCCACCCCACGCCCGCTTCCCCCATGCCTCTGTCAATGCCGCATGGGGTTTCGTTTGCCCTGTTCTTACTTTTTCCCCCATACTCCTACGCTCAGTTGGTTCATTCATGTTGACCCTCCCTCCCACACCGCTCCCGCCTCCCCTCTGTATCTGCACGCATGTGCCCCTTACTCTGCCGCACGCCTTGCTCACGTGTGCCTTGCCCCCCTGCTGTGTGTCTCCCCCACGCCGTGCTGTGTGTGGCAGTTGATGCGGCTGGGCGACCTCGTGGGCTTTGGCAAGTCCATCCGTGTCACGCCCTGCAACATGTGCGCCCTCACCGCCTCGCCCCTCTCTCTCTCACTCTCTCGCCCCTGCACTTTTCTATTTGAATGAATGAACCAAAGGAAACACTGCGAACCTAACAGGGGCAGACCCGGCACACATGAGCATGCACATGCACGCAGAGTGTCCGCGGCACAGCAGCCACAGCCTCACATGTGCATACATGCGGGGCCAGCATAGGCCCCGGGCATGCATGCTGGTCAGCTGTGTGCAAAGCCTTCCCTCTCTGCATCTCTGCCCCCACTGCTGCATGCATCCTCCCTCACTCATGCCAACCCAACCTTATCTCTACCCTCTTTCCCCCTCTCTCCCCCCCCCCCTCTTCCCCCCACCCCCCCCTCTTGTGGGTGGCAGGGCGGCATTGGGGCTGAGTGCGTGGCCAGCGCCAGCGGTGTGGCCGTCAGCGCCCTCGGAGTCCGACCCACGAGTCAAGGCCCGCGAGGTCACACCCCCCCCGCGCCTCCGCATTTCTGCACCGCACCTGCTGCACACCACTCTACACCGTGCCCTGCCTCGTTCCATCTGACCGTCACTTTCAACAGTGCTCGTCCATCACCTCCCTGCATGCCCTCACCTTCCCCTCCCTCCTCTCCACCCTTCACCTCCCCATCCCCCCCTCCTACAGGCAGTGATTCAGGAGATGCAGGGGGCGGGGGCAGCGAGGGGGGAGGCGAGGCTGTGCGGGGTGGGGCCGTGCAGCCTGGTGCAGGAGGCCAACCGCCGCAAGGCCTCGCTCACTGCCGGCATGCCCGGGGGGCTCTGGCCCGACTCCTCGCCCTCGCGCCCCACTGACCCCTCCAGGTCCGCTCCCTGCTCGCCCTGCTCTCCTCTCGCTCTTTCTCGCTCGCCTTCCTCTTGGCATGCTTGCTGCACCCACACACCTCAAGCCCACTGACCTGCCTTTCCTTCCCTCCTCCCTCCTCCCCTCCCAGGCCGGACAGCAGCACGCCGCCAAAGCAGCGGCCGGGCACGCCGCCAGGGGGCGCGGGGGCGAAGATGCTGTCGCTGGCGCAGGTGCAGGTGGCGGCTGCCAGCGCGCTGGAGGCCTTTGTCACCTCGGGCATGCTCAAGCGCGCTCTCTCCTCGCGCGAACACTTTGAGGTCCGTGCCCTGCTGCCTGCTCGCCGCTGCACTCACCAGCACACTCACTCTCTGCATGCACCACAGTGCGTGGCACATATGACAGGAAGGGAGTTGCTGTTTCATATTACTAGCTCCTTAAAACTTCATGCCTTCACACTCGTGCACTGGTTGCGATACCGCGCGTGCATGCATGTGTGCATGCGAGCAGGACTTTTATCTGGAGTTGACGCGGTCAGCAGCGGACTGCTACGCGCGCTCGCTGTGGCTGCGCCATGCTGTGGCCCTGGACGCGGAGGTGGGCAGTCTGCACGAGGCGGCAGGGCGCTTTGACCTGGCGCTCAAGGTGTACGAGAAGCAGAACGCCGCGTACAGCGCAGCGCGGTGGCACCACCTGCTGCTGGACCTCTTCCCGCGCCTCTCGCACTGCCAGCTGCTCATGCGCGACCTGCCCGCCTTCCTGGGCTCCTGCACCAAGCTGCTGTCGCTGGGTCCCTCCCTCGTGCCCGCAGACGAGCGCAGCAAGGTGCAGCGCCAGATGGTGGAGGTGGCGCGCTCGCGACTGGAAGAACCCGTCTCTGTCGACGTCTCCTCCCTCCTCTCCTTCTCCCTCGCCCCCCACACTCCCGCGCCCTCTGCATCGCCTGCTACCTCGCCTGCTGCCGCTGCGCCAGCGTCCCCAGCAGGCAGGGCGGGCAGCAAGGCGCTGGAGCTGGGCGAGGGGGACGTGGTGTCGCTGTCCCTCGCAGTCTGGAGCTCCATGCCTGCCCCACTCGCACTGGACTCTCTCGTGCTCTCCCTCGTCACCCCGCCTCTCTTCACAGCAGAGGATGGTATCAGGGTAAGCCCCGCCATCCCCATGCCAACGAATCACGCCAAGCACACATGCCCACACCGCGCACCCACCCATTTCATTGCTCAAGAATCTCAGTTCCCGATTCCTTGCCTCACATTGCTTTCACAACAAAAGTTCGCTGCTAATTCGATGACTGTTTGCAACCGTGCCCTGCCACGTGCATGTGTGTGTGGGGTGGGCGGGGGGGTGCAGATGAAGAGTGAGCCAGCGCCAGTGGTGCTGCAGCCGGGGGCCAACACGGTGCAGGTGGTGGCGGTGGCGAAGCGGCAGGGCGTGTACGTGCTGGGCATGCTGATGGGGCACTGTGGGCGCGTGCGCTTCCGCTCCAGCTCCGCCACCATCAAGGGCGGCCCTCCCGAGGCAGAGGACTACCTCACGTCCGAGCGCACTCTGCGCACCGTGCTCAAGGTCAAACCCCCTCTCCCCCCCCCCCCACCCCCTTCCTCCCCATGCTGCTGCCAACACCGCCCATCCATGTCTCTCCCTCGTTCCCTTCCTTGGACGCGCACAGAAATGCCGATGATTCCATGGGGTTCCGGTTGCCATGCCACGGCCCGTATCCTGTGTGTGTGTGAGCGCAGGTGTCACCATCGCGCCATCTGTTGGACATGGCACCGGTGGTGGATCAGCCACTGCTACTGGGCGAGCCACAGTGGCTGGGGCTGCTGCTGCACCCGCTCTCCTACTCCCTCGCGGGCTCGCTCCTCAGACTAGCAGGCGGGCCCGGCCTGCTGCTGCCGCCCAACCAGACCGTCGAGTGCCAGCGCTTGCCGCCCGCATACCCGTCCGTGCTGCGCCAGCCGGGCAAGGACAAGGCGGGCGACGGAGAGGTGCCGGAGGGGGGCAGCGAGGCAGTGGCGATGGTGGCAGGGTCGCTGCACCTGCCATCGTGGTGCGCTGACTGCCCCACTGTCGTGTGGGTGCAGGCCTGCGCCTTCCGCGACCGCCCCTCGCCCCCTGTGCTCGTGCCTGCTGCCTCCTCGCCTTCCTCCTCCCCCACCAGCTCCCAGCAGCGGCAGCAGGCAGGGGGAGCGGAGGGCATGTCATCTTCAGCATCTTTCTCGTCCACGGACTGGAACAGCAGCAGCATCGGCAGTGTGAGCAGCAGGAGCAGCAGGGACGGCAGCCCGTCAGGGGACAGTGCACCGCAGCAGGCCACAGGAACAGGCGGGGCGAGGGGGCAGGCGGGGGCGGCGGCAGTGGCAGCAGTGCGTGTGGTGCGGTGTGTGGTGGAGTACGGCACGCCTCGCAGCCGTGTCTTTGAAAAGTATGTCCTCCCACCACTCTCTCCTTCTCACTGCGCTCCAATGCTTGTCGCTTTCTTGCCCAACCAATCTCCGTCGTAATCCACCTGCTTCCTGCCTGTGTGTCGTTCACGTGCTCTCTCCACGCTCCTCTCACCCATGTGTGTGTGTGTGTGTGGCGGTGCATGTGCGCTTACAGGGTGTTGACGTTCCAGTTCGTGGAGCCCTTCCACGTGGCCACCAGAGTCGTCAGCAGAGGGGCCGATGGTGCCAGAATGCTGCTCCAGGTCGCTCCTCACCCCTCAACCTGCCCTTCCTCACTTCATCTCCTCATTCCTCACTTCAGTGCGCGCTAGATTCCATAGATTACTATGTCTCTTGTCAATCCTCTTGTCACCGTGCCTTGCACTGCTGAGCCCTCCCTCCCACTGCGCTGCCCCCCATGCGCCTCGCCCCACAGATGTCCCTGCACTCCAATCTGCGCTGCACGCTGCGCATCGCCTCTGCCTCGCTGCGCCTGCAGCCCGGATTCTCCCTCCTCTCCACCGCCGCTGCTGCCGCCTTCACCACCTCTGCTGCCGCCGCCTCTGCCCTGAGCCTGTCCGCCCCCGCTCCACTGCTGGACGTGGGGCCGCTGCTCTCAGGCACGCTGCTCTTCACACTCTCACTGCGACCACCGGGGGAAGCGCCCGCTGCTGCCTCTAAGGCTGCTCCAAGAACAGGTGCATGCTCACTCCCTCTCACTCGTTGCCCTCCAATACCCTTGCGCTCCAGTACTGTTTTCGTTTGCATTGTTCCTCTCTCCTCTCTCCGTCTCTTTCTCTGCCTCCTTGCCGCCTTGTCTAACTCTGCACTGCAATGGTTTCGTTTGCGTTGTCCTGCACATATTCCCTCCCCCTTGCTTCCCCCTTCCGCGTCATTCTCCCCTTGTCTCTTAGCTCTCTGTTGCGCGCAATTGTCCCACCCCTTTCCCCCAGTGCGTGTAGGAACCGGTTGCTCTCTGTGCTCGCGGCTCCCCCTACTCGAGTGTGTGTGGCCATGTGTGTGTGCATCAGGGCCACACCACACGCAACTCCGTGCCACCACCTTGCTATCGCATGCTCAACCCCTCCCCGCCTGCCTTTCTCCCTCCCTGCTCCTCATTGCCTCGCTGCAGCGGCGCGCCTTCAAGTGCCTGACGGGCAGGCGGGGGGAGAGGAGGGCGAGAGGGAGGGGGGCATGGAGGGCGTGAGTGAGCTGCGCGTGCACTACGAGGTGCAGGGCGAGCGCCTGCACGGCGCCCACACGCCCGTCGCCACACCGCTGTGGGCGCGCACGAGAGGAGGCGAGGGGGCACGCTTGGGAGGTGGCGCAGACTATGTGGGCGCGGAGCAGAGAGAAGATGGGGGAGGGCAGGTGTTGGCGGAGGGGGAGGAGGGGAGGGGGGCGAGTGGGGGAGTGGTGCCAGTGTACCGGCATGCAGTGGTGTTGCAGATGCCTGTCACAGACCGCGTGCTGGCGGTGGGGCTGCTGACGCCAGCCAGTGCAGTGAGCATCGCCCCGCGGGTGGGGTGTGTGCTGGTGCTGGAGTGGCGCATTGAACGCCTCATAGACGGCCTCCTCCTGCCGCCCTCGCACCAGGTACGCTGCTCACTCCCCCCTTGCCTTTCTAACTCTGTGACTTTCTCTCTGGTTGCTCGCCTGCGAGTTGAAAGCTTCCTGTGTTTCATGCCCATGGAGCTGCACTGCTGCTGGTTGAGGGGTTATGTGTGACCTGCCATAACACCACTGACTACTGGGCCTGCCTTTCCCCACGGCGCCCCGCTCTTACCCCCCAGCAGGAGGCGTGGGAGGGAGGGGAGGGCGAGGAGGTGGAGTTTGAGGTGCGGGTGAGTGGGGACGACTGGATGATAGCGGGGCGGCGCAAGGGCTTTCTGCGCCTGCCCTTGGGGCGCGGCGCCAAGCACCTGCTGTCGCTGCACTGCCTGCCGGTGAAGTCGGGCTTTGTGCGGCCACCCGTGCTGCACCTGCCCCAGATTAACCCCGACACTATCAGCCACTCCCCTGCCGGCCCACACCTGCTGCGAGTGCTGCCCCAGGAGCCCTGTGCCTCCTTCTGTGTCTCAAAACGAGTGTGAACCTGCACTGCTTGGCTTCGTTCAACCTTGCCCCTCCACTCCCCTCTCGCTATGTGGGAAAGACGAGTTCGTGGCTCCAGTTTATAGATGGAATGATCATATTGCTTGCTATGAGCTGTAGAAAAAACATGTTAATAATAACATACCTAGGCAAGAACAGGCTATTGAAACTGTCCGATCTCGAGCGCGATGGAAGTTTCGGGAATCTAGTGTTTCTGGTCACTGGCATGAGACGCCCCGTACACGCACATTTCGGGATCGTCTCAGCTTGAGCCGCTCAGATCACATCCCAGGCTGCTGCCTTCCAAATCACTGCTAGAACGCTACCCCGCCGTTTCCTCTAATTCCGCCGCTCCGCGACTCACGCTCTCGTTCTTTACCTCGCGCTGCCCCTGCACGGTCGAGCAAGCCCGCTGCGGGATTCGCGATGTGGCCGGTGAGCGGCGTGAAGCCATCGCGCAGCGACGAGGTGCTGCCGCCGGAGCAGCAGGCAGCGGCCACGGCCAAGGTGAGCGCGGCGCGGCGTGTCGCCGCCTCATGCAGGCGCCTTGCGCTCCACCCACCACCGTCACGTGCGCACACACGAATCTGGCCGCCGGTTTTGTCTCACGTCTCCCTCCTTGCGGCCGTCCGAACAATGAGTCCTCGCAAGCCGCGCATGGCCAGCCACGGCGCCCCCGTACAAACGTATCCCCGTGGTCCTACCACCTCCGCGCTCTCGCCCATTCCTCCCCGCGCCCCCTTTCCCCCTTCCGCGTGGGCATGCGGTGGCGGGGCGTGCCCCGCGCGCAGGTGGAGCAGTACTTCCAGGCGCAGGCGCCACGGCGCGCGGCCAAGCCCAGTCGCAGCGAGGCGGGCGAGGGCGAGGGCGTGTTCGGCGCGGACGACGCGGTGGCGGTGGACCTGCCGGAGAGGCGCGCGCTGGCGCACCTCGTGGCGCACGCGGAGGTGGGTGCGCTGGGGGGGATGTAGGGGCATGGCGCGGGGAATGTGGTGACGCAGCGGCAGTGGGAGTGGTTGAGTCATCCATGGCGGCATGCTGAGGCGGCACACGCGACATGTATCTCCAACATGCACTTCGCTATGCCTGCCCTGCATCCCTTCCACCACCGCTGCCACTGCACCTCCGCCCTTCCTCTCCCCTTCTCACCCCCCCTCCCTCCCCTCGTCCTCCCATGCTCGTGCCTCTTCCCCTTGCCTGTATGTGCGTGTCAACGGTGCGCCTCCGTGCGGTGCATGGGGCATGGCAGCCGGTGTGTCCCAGTGGCACGCCAGAGGTGCACGACCCTGAGCACCACCAAGCCACCTCCTACTACCAACACCTGCAATATGATGGCCCACACTGCCCGGTACGCCCCTACTGCTTCTTCGCCTTGCCCCTCTCTTGATGCTTCCCTCCAGGGCTCAGGTTTGCAGTGTAATTTACCCTTCTATACTGATTACAAGGGTGAATTTTTGGGTCTACACTGATGTGCTGGGGTAATTTTTTGGTGAGTTAGTGTTACACTGATCTGTAAGTGTAATGATTTAGGCCACACTGATGCTCTGGGGTAATTTTTCCCTTAGCGAAGATTACCCTGAAGAGCGTACAGGGACTCCCCCCCCCCCCCCCCTCGGAAACTCTACTTATTGAGAAGAAGTTTCCTAGAACTTTCGTAGCGATACACCCAATTTCGTAATGATGCACTACGACGCCAGCACACGTGAGTACTGACAACCGACACCGTGTCACTCCGTGTCTGCTTGCAACCTACCCGTTACTGTAGAGGCGATGCAACCTGATTGGTCGAAGCTGCACTCTCTGCAAGAACGTCAACTTTCTTGACTCGGAAATTTGGGACTCGAGGTTTCCGAACACACTCGAAATTTGCTGACTTGGCGAAAAATACAAGTGTTGCAGCGAAACCAGACAAGCCACTGCGCTCGACTTTTGAGTTCACATCACAACTCCCACCCACCAGCGCCCAACTTACGATAGTAATCGTGCGCGATTTGGGCCTCGAGCTTGATTGCAGCCAGCACATATTGAGCAGCCTAAAGTACAATCAGGGTAAAAAATATACCTACACTGATGCCTCTGGGTAAAGTTTTCAAAACTTCAAGTTACACAGATCCATCAGTGTTTCCAAAAAGGGCACAGTGCTCAGAAGGGTTTTGAAAATGTCTACACTGCTAATCGTGAGTAGGCAAAATCCAAACCTAAGCCCTGCTTCCCTCCGCCACCCTATTATCCCACTGTTACTTATGTTCCCTCCCCTCTCCCTAATGTTTGCCCTTTGAGACACATTTCGTTGCTTCCTCCCATACCTTTTTTGTGTTGAAATACCTGTGTGTGTGTTCCATACATTACATGCGTGAACTACCATCCCATGCGTGTACTACCATCCTGTGTGTGCCTCTTCGTTGTGTGTTTGTGTGTTTGTGCCTTACTATATGCATGCCTTCCCTGTATGCATGCCTTCCCTGTATGCATGCCTTCCCTGTATGCATGTCTTCCCTGTGTGTGGGTGGGGGGGTGAGCAGACAGGGAAGGGGTTCATAAGGCTGGACGCCAAGCCAGAGGTGCCAGTGCATGTGGTGGAGCACCATGCAGTGCCTGCACCTCTGCTCTTCAACAACAACGCTCACACCAACCCTGCCAGGGATGACTGGACTGCTGAATAGCCCACTCATCTTTTGGGCTCCTGAATTCACTTTACACTCATTTTAGTACATGATTTTTTCAGCCTAAAAAACACATTACAGTTTATACTGGTACCATACTTCAATGTCAATATGATGATTACAAACGGGCATCAACAAGAAAGCGACTCAACATATAAGGCTTCTCTGCACGTGCACAACAAGCACTACGAGCCTGGCTGATGCAGCATGCAGGCAATGCACTTCAATGGGCACTTGGATGACAGGATCGTCAATGTACCGTAAAACAAAGAGGAAAGAGCACAAGCTCTTTCCACAACTGGAGCAACAAAATCCCCAAGCAATTCATCCTGGTGCATTCCATGTCACTCCCAAGCAACCACTTCCTCACAAGCCACGTCCCCCTGGCAGCACACGCATCCCTCTCGCCCTGTGTGTATCTACCACGTGTACTTGGCCTCCACGAGGATTTCCTCGTACTGCACCGCAGCAGCGTCCCAGCTCAGGTCCTGCGCCATGCCTCTGCGCTGCAGGCGCCGCCACGAGTCACGGTAGTCGCGGTACGTGTAGATGGCGTTGCCCAGCGCGTGCACCAGCCCACCCACCTCCGCGTGGTCAAACGTCCACCCCAGCCCCGAGTCGTTGAACGGGTCAAACGCCGTCACCGTGTCCCTCAGCCCACCCACAGCATGCACCACGGGCACGGTGCCATAGCGCATGGCATACAGCTGGTTGAGCCCACAGGGCTCAAAGCGCGAGGGCATGAGCAGGATGTCACAGCCGGCGGTGATGCGGTGGGCCATCTTGACGGAGAAGCCCACCCAGCCGCGCACCTTGTCCTTGTGCTTGCCCTCCATCTCCCGCAGCACGTTCTCCAGGTCCTCACGGCCAGTACCCAGCATGACGAGCTGCACGTCCTGCTGGGTGAGCCACGGCATGGCCTCGGCGATAATGTCCACGCCCTTCTGGTAGTCCAGCCGCCCTATGAACCCCAGCAGCGGCACGTCAGCACGCACAGGCAGCCCCAGCTCGCGCTGCAGGGCAGCCTTGCAGGCGGCCTTGCCCTCCTCGAGAGTGTCGATGTTGTAGTGCATGTACCCGTAGCGCCCATCATTGTCGTCCACCAGGTGCACGTCGCTCTCAGGCCCCCACTCCACCGTGTCTATGCCGTTCACCACGCCCCGCAGCTTGCCTGCATGCTCGCGCAGCACGCCATCCAGCCCCCACCCGCCCATCTGCGTCTGCACCTCCCACGCGTACCCACGGCTGACGGCGACGAGGCGCTGGGCGCTGATGATGCCGGCCATGAAGATGTTCATGTGCTCGCCGCCCACCGGGTCGTACAGGCGGAAGCGCTCTATGTAGTGCTCGGGCAGGCCCAGCCAGGGGAACTCCGCCACGGGCCCGCGGCCCTGGTGGGCCATGTTGTGGATGACGAGCACGGAGCGCGTGAACTCCATCATGCCGTGGTCGCGGTAGTACCCCTGCAGGTACACCGGCAGCAGTGCTGTGTGCCAGTCGTTCGCCACAAACACCAGGTTGCCGTCCCCGTAGCACACCCCCCCGCATGGCACGTGCCATGGCGCCTGGAGCCCCACGTGCAGGGAGGTTAGAGTAGCGAGGTGGAAGGGGGTCATTGACATGGGGCAACAAGGGACCTGGTGCGAGCAAGGTGGTAATGGAAGGAGGTGCGCAAGGGAGTGGTGCAGGGGTCATACCTCAATGGCTGCCTTGCAGAGAAGAATCATTCTCTTGGTCACCTCCTGTTGATTGCGATTGCAGGGGCGTGCACACGCAACACACAGCACGTACAACAGGCACAAGTACACACAACGCACATGCACGACATGCACTCGCAAACAGCTCGCATGCACATGCAGACAAGCGCGCCCACATGCACGCATACGCAAAGCCCCCCTTCCCCCACACAAAGGCAGAGATCCGCACACAAGGAGGGGATGGCAGTGAGGACACACGGCAGCAGTTGAAAGGGCCGCGCACACACGCGTGGTGTGCCGTCCGGAGCAGCAAGGAATGCGTGCCGCAACACAAGCAATGGGGGCGTGCGGGGCGGGTGGTAACACGGTACCTCGCGCGAGCCGCCATAGATGTTTTGGTTGAGGTGGTGGAACCAGTTGTGGTCGATGAAGACGAAGTCAACGCCGTCCACGTACTTGTGCTGGTACAGCACCTCCATGTCCTGCCACCACCACACGCACACCATGCCGCCACCGCACGCACACACTCGCATAAAGAATCGCCCGTAGGAGGCACACTCACGCTATCGCAATCGAGCAGGCGGTGGGTGCTTGCATTGTTGCACGGGGCGACCGCGCACACAGGCGGTACCCGCCGGCATAGGTTATGATACTTCACACGCTTCGACCAACACAATGACGTGCACTTCGGCATGCATACGCATGCTTAGATACGCTATGGCACCGCATGCGCATGGAATGGCAAGCGTATGCGCGTGGGTACAGCAAGCATGGCATGGGGGGCAATGAGCACCTGGCCTGCGACGTTGAATCTCTTGCGAACGTTTGTGCTCTCCAGCCCCTCGTAGTTGCCGTAGCGAGGCACCACCACCTGCCACGCACGCACACGCACACGCACACGCACACGCACAGCACCGCACGTTAGAGGTCCTGCATCTTCACAACCGCGCATCGTGCTCGATTATCCCTCTTGGTCGCCATTAGCTTCATTCACGGCACGGCCCGCACACCCTTCGCCGAGTCACCAGCAATCTTTTATAGTGATTCCCCTCCGAAACACCCAATCCCACTTTTCCGTTCACCCTTCTCCCTACCCCCAACTCTTCCAAATTCCCCTTCCCCCCCACTCTCTTTTCCCCACCGCCCGCACTCACCATGACGCGGTGGCCTCTGCGCGCCAGGGCCTTGGGCAGCGCGCCGACGACGTCCCCGAGGCCGCCGGTCTTGGACCAGGGCGCGCACTCGCTCGCCACCATCACCACGTTCATCACATTCGGTCCCGCCAGCGGTTCCGCCTTCACCTCTGCCGGGGGTGCCGAAGGCGCAACCGCCGCTGGCGCGGGCGGCGCTACAGGCTTTGGAGGAGGCGGCGCGGCGCGAGGCGGGGCGATGGGAGGAGCGGACGGTCTTGGCTTAGGAACGGCGAGGGGGGCGGCAGGTGCAGCAACCTTGGGCGCCGCTCGTGCAGCTGTAACAGCACTGACGAAAGGTGGAAGGGAAGGTGCTGAAGGTGCTGCGGGTTGATTCGGGGTGGGGGCAGGGGAGCGAGGTGGAGGCCGTGTGGCCGGCGAGGATGGTGGAGCAGCAGGGGTGGCGCGCGGTTTGGTTGCGGCAGGGGGGCCGGCAGCGACAGGAGAAGGCGAAGGCCGGGCAGCGGGAGGAGGGGGGGTAGAGGCGGGAGGAGAGACGGGAGGTGGCATTCTGGAAGGAATCGCGACGGGAGACGTCGCGGGCTTGGCAGCGGGGGACGTGCGGGCGACGGGCGGGCGCAACGGGGTCGATGAGGAGGGCGCCTTGACCGAGAGCGACGGCGCTTTGCTGCTGGCTACTGCTGCGGGGGTTGGCGAAGCAACGGATGCGGGTTTAGGCGAAGCAGGGGGTGCGCGGGCAGTAGCAGTAGCAGTGGGGGCGACGGGTGCAGGCGCAGCCCTTGGCGGAAGCGACGGGGGCGACGCAGGAGGGGGACGGGCGAGGCGAGCTGGTGATGCGGGCTGAAGGTCCTGGCGAGACACGGGTGGGAGACCCCCGCGATCCGACTCGTTGAACGCCTTTATGGTGGCAGCTGGCGTGTCCAGCGACTGCAATAACGCGGCGTGTAGCTTACGCCGCTCCTCCAGCTGCCCGAGAACACGCAAAAGGGGAGCGTCAGCGAGAACCGATTAATTGCTGGTGTCAGGGAGAAGGAGCAAACAGAGTGACACAACAACCAAATAAAAAAAAATATACGAGTGCGTAGGTGCAATTTGCATACTAGACTTGCACGGCGGGCCTTACCTGATCCAGCAGCTCCTTCTGCATGCGCATCAGTCGCTCGTTGCGCTCCGCCAAAGCCGAGCGCTCATTGCCCGAGGACCTCACCGACTGGCTACTCTCCGCAACAGAGCCGCTGCTCCCGCCGCTGGCGTCAGCAGGGACTTCGGCGCGCACTCTGCAGCTGCCGTGCCACGGCCTACCCGGCAGACTCGTGCGAGTGGCAATGGTAATCCGCCGAGCAGAAAGTGCATCGAGGCTACTGAATCGGCCACCTGCACGGGGCTCAACTGTTCCAAGTAAGGGAAGCGGGCGCGCTGCCAAGCTCGCAGTGGTCTCCATGGCGCCTGACCTTACGCAGCCTTCACCTCCACAAAGCCCACAGCTGCCGCAGCAGACTTGGGTATCGTGTTTGCCTGATAGTTGGTTTAAGTCCCCGGTGCAGCTAGGTGCAGAAAGGTTACGGGACTGCCTTCAATCAGTCCGTGACCAGCAACGTTTCCAAAAGGTGAGGTTCAATGTAGTGGCACAACAGTGGTGCTTGGAAGGAGGATTTGGTTCAAATCAGAGCACAACAGCACGATGAGCTAGTCTCTCTAGATGCGGGAAGCAGGTGGAGGGGCCAAGTGACTATCTGGGGGATTGGCAGCGGGAGCGGATGCGAGAGAACCGCTGGGCGAGGAGAGTCTAGATTGATGCCCTTGAAAGGTCAGCCTTTCCAAGTTAAACCACGATTAGCTTCAACTCATAAAAAAATTAGACCCCCACAGGCTGATGAGAAGAAATTTACCACCTACTGAGGCCTTTAACGGGGTACTTATCAAGGAAATATTAAGATCAAGGGTTCCCGGAAAACGAAAACAAGCATCAAGAGAGGAAGGTGGAGCTGAATACAGCGGGTGGGGAAAACCACCCGTCAAAGCCTGTGACCAATCAGGTGTGGAAAGCGCTCGCGACCACACAGGTTTTGCTCCGCTGTGGTGCTGAGTCAAGTGCTCCGTTTCCTACCTCACCCATGCCCCACAACGAGCAGACGACCCCCACCAACATGAGATCCAGAAGACTCTCCCCAAGCACGGAAAGTTCTGTCTTTGAATGATGACACGTGTCTCCCCTTTCTTTTGCAAGAGCCTCACGGATAAGGCAGAGCGTCAGCCATCCATCCTTTCGTCGCAACGCCACGCACGAAGGGGCGAAAGTGGGCCTGACTTGTAGGCTGCAACGAAGTCTGGTTTGGAGAATGGTGACATGGCATTGATCCAGCCACACCTCGCACTTTATCTCCACCCACAGTCAGATACACGTTGATACCAGATGTTCCCTTATATTTTTAGACTAATATAATACATACCTTCATTAATAGATACATTTTGGAGAATTCTTAGAACACCTGGTTCGTTTCGCAAATTAACAGGTTTTTTATGGGGCAGCTTACTGACTCCAAAAGATAAATTGTTCCGTAAAATCCTTAAGGAATATGGTTCGTCTATTGATGGCAATAAATAAACTAGTAAGTCTCTAAGACATTCTAGACCTGGAAGTCTTGGAGAAGTGCACAGTTTAGGAAAACGTAAGGAACCGAACTGTACCATGCAGTGGTGTTCTGAGGTCAGAAGCACTTCAGAACCTTCACATGTGCTGGGTTTAGGTTCAGGGTTCTGGAAAAGTGCTTCCACCCAACCTTGAGGGCCACTGAAGTTCCAATTATTTCGCGGTTTCTGTTACCTATTCGATGGATTCAGACCAGCAGCGCACGTCCTTCACTCTTCGAGTGGAGCAGGGTCAACCGGTGGAGCTTCCACCTTTTGTCGCGCATTTACCTCTAGGGGCCATTCCAGCATTTATCTCCGCGTCTTCGGTGGAGGCATCCGCAATTGTCCCTTCCGCTACAGTCACCGACGGCGCTCTCAGTCTCCATGCTGCGACGAGTTCTAGCCTCGGGGAGTCGGCGGGAGGCAGGCAGAAGGTGCAGCTGCGGGTGCTGCAGGGCGCGGCGTCGCGGGCGGGCGGCGTGCGGCAGGTGCTGCTGGGGGAGACGGATGCGACGTGGTTAGTGGGGCGCACGCATGACGACGGCGAGGGGGGCGTGAGCGGCGCGGCTGCGACGGGGCAGCTGGGCACGTCGCTGGTGCTGGGCGTGTTTAAGCGGAAAAGCAAGGAGCTGCACCTGCTGCCCCTCGCCGCGCCTAAGGTGTGTGTGACGTCGGGCTTTGCACCTCCACTTATCGCCAAGGCACTCGCCTCTAACCCGCGGAGGCGTGATGTTTCTTTAGCGAGAGCGTAGGAGAGGTTGCGAGGGAGAACTCGATATCTGAAACCATCATTGCAGGCTTCCGCGCCCTCGCATGTGGCCCCCAGCTTGATTTCATGGCTGCGTGTTTCTTTCCCGCCCGTGCGGGCAGGTTGTGCGCATGGAGGCGCGCGTGAAGGCGGTGGCGTACGACGCGGAGCGCCACACGGGAGGCGCCGTGGGCGCGGCGGACGAGCGCACAGCGAGCGTGGTGACGGCGGAGCCCGTGTCTGGCGGGAGCTCGAGTCTGGCCAAGTACCAGGAGGACATGCGCAAGCGACGACTGCTCACCGCGACGTTCGGTAGCAAGAAGAGCAAGAGCAGGGTGAGTCTCCGTTGCTGCCGAACGCTGTTCATTATTCCTCTGCTCTTTCTCTCCCTCAGGTCAACCTGGCTTCGTTGTTTGATGGTCCTTGTTTCACGTGCGTCGCTTAAAGCGCTCGTGGTGCGTTGTCCGTGCACGTCGGCGACTGTCCTATTCACGGCACGGTGCAGGTGGCAGCAGCGGAGCGGGGGCAGGTGAGCGGCGAGTCGCTCAAGGCCAGCGACGCCCTGGGCCACCTTGTGCGATCCGCCGCCGCGGCGCCGCTCGCGCTCACTCAGCAGGACCTGGACGCGCAGCAGAGCGCGGCGAGCTACTTGCCTCCGCACAACCCTGCAGCCACGCAGGTGGAGGAGGCATACCCGCTGGCGTACCTGGTGCCGCGCGAGGAGTGGGAGTGCACAGACGTCGCTGTGCTGCTGGCCGCCGCTGCCCTGCAGGCTGAGATGCGGAAGAACCAGAAGGCCAAGGGCCTCGTTCAAGGCGAGAAACGAGCGGGAGGAGGGGAAGGGGGGGGTGAGGAGGAGGAGGACAAAGAAGGGATGGGTATGGATTTTAAGTCGAAACAGGCGGCACGGCAGCTGTTGAATGCGCTGCCCACATTTGTGAAGGAGCGGCTGGGGCTTCTGCTGGTGAGATGGCGTGATGCTGTGATCTGCAACATGGTGCCGTGAGGGGTGGTGGCTGGTGTCATGCCAAGTGGTGGTTGCTCATGCTCCCTCTGGCATTTGTTTCTTGCTGAATTCATTGCTTATGCCATCCCATGCACCTGGTCCTCACTGTTCTCCATGTGTCCCTCTATCCACCACGCAGACCAAGACGGGGGAATCCAAGGCGCACTACGCGCGGCTGCTGCTGCACATCCACTTCCTCGTGCTCATGCTGCACATGCCCGAAGCCGTCCTGCACGCCAGTGCCTTGCGCACACTTGCCTCCTCCCACCCCTCCTCATCCTCCCTACCCTCGCCTGAGCTTATCTCAAAGGAGTATGGCATGCCCATCCCCACGGCTGCCCGCCTGCCTCAGATATTCCGGGCGCAAGCGGAGGACCAGCACAACGTAGGTGGCAAGAGGTATAAGTTCCCATTGCGCCTCAAGCAGCTGCTCATCAGCTACATTGCTGCCCTCGCACTGCACGCCACAGCCTTCCGCCTGCCTCTCGTTGCGCTCGCAGCTGACCTTAAGATGGCTGCACCCATATTGATGAAGCATTTGAGGGAAATGGGGTGTGAGAGTTCAAGGGGAGGTGCTGCTGCCGGCGTGGTGGAGACTGTGGCTGTTCTGCGGGTGCCCCTCAAGTTCCCCAAGACTGTCGCTCCTAAAAGAAATAGGAAGTGAGCGGGCGGCCGGAAAGACTGAGTTGGGGCAGGATGTGTGCACTAGAGTTGTTTGCCATGTGGAAAGGCACAAGGGGATAATTCTGTACGTTAGTGCAGTTGCTAAATAAGCTCTTCCGTGCCAGTTACCGGTACCTTACAACGATGTAGCATGGCTGCCATGTAGATAATGTCAGAATCCTAGCCACTAACCACTGGGACAAAAGGGCTTGTTTGTGTACAGGGCCCAACATATCAAGGTAAAATGTCCTGATTACCTTGGGGGCCGGCCTCTTTTTCAAGATTACTCTGCCAAAATCAGGATTGCGCGAACGTTACCCTTCTGCAAAAGAGCATGTTTTTTTTTTTTACACTGATTGGATTTAGGGTTAGCCTGACGGTGTCAGGGTAGGGTGTAGACTACCCTGAACCGAAACTTCTTTACCGCGGATTGTCAAATGTTGTAGCCTGTAGTGAGGTTTGTCTTAGGGGGTACAGAAGTTAGGGTTTGTCATATGTACCCCAACCAACATCAATGCAACCATCCATTCTTCATTCTGACATGGTATCAGCTAGGTTAGGATCCTGTGGGATCCCGTTCCTCCGTTCTCCGTTCGTACCTCCCGAGCCTGATCCTACCTCTCGTTCGTACCAGTTTCGTTGTTACCGCGCCTAGTACCGAGCCTAGCGCCATCTCCCCCGTCGCGTCACGCCCGTTCCCCCCCGTCGCGTCGCGCCCGTTCCCCCCGTCGCGTCGCGCCCGTTCTCCCCGTCGCGTCGCGCCCGTTCCCCCCGTCGCGTCGCGCCCGTTCCCCCCCATCGCGTCGCGCCCGTTCCCCCCGTCGCGTCGCGCCCGCCTGTTACCCCCCCCGTCCCGTCGCCCTGTCCCGTCGCGTCGCCCTGCCCTGTCCCGTCGCCCTGTCCCGTCGCGTCGCCCTACCCCGTCGCGTCGCCCTGCCCTGTCCCGTCGCCCTGCTCCGTCGCGCCGCCCTGCCCCGTCGCGTCGCCCTGTCCCGTCGCGTCGCCCTGCCCCGTCGCGTCGCTCCCGCCCTTTCCCCCGTCGCGTCGCCCTCCCTAGGCCCTGGCCCGTCGCCCTCCCTAGGCCCTGGCCCGTCGCCCTCCCTAGGCCCTGGCCCGTCGCCCTCCCTAGGCCCTGGCCCGTCGCCCTCCCTAGGCTCTGGCCCGTCGCCCTACCCTAGGCCCTGGCCCGTTGCCCTACCCTACGTCTTGGCCCGTCGCCCTAGCCCGCTCTTCCGCTGCGACTGAGTCCTCTTCCCCCCCGGTTGTTACTCGCCTGTTCGTTCGCGTTGGTTCTCACTATGGCGACTCCGCGAGTTCTTCGTTTCGACGCCGACGGTAGACCCCTTGACTTTTCCGTCTGGCTTCTTCGCGCTCGTCGTCTGTTAGAGAGTCA